ACCCGTGGATATAAAAATATCGCTTTTATTTCTTACTGCGCTCTCCCAACTTTTCGACTTTTTTTTTTCTTTCTCTTTTTCTTTCTCTCTCTCTCTCTCTCTCTCTGTCTCTCCACCCAATTTTCCCAAAACCACTCGCTCCTTTCTTATTTTATATTAGAATTACTGCCTCCGCGAGCCCATTTCGTCTCTTTCTCAACACGTAGAACCTCATTCTCAATGGTTCTCGTTTCTAGTTTCTGTTGTGATTAATTGTACGTACACCATTCAACGAATTATCGTTGAAACGAATAGATAGAGAGTCGACATCGAGTTGACATCAACGAACGGATGCAATCTGTTCGAAAAATATATTTCGATCGAAACGATCGTCGAATTTCTTTCTTTTTTGAAAAAAAAAAAAGAAAGGCGCGGCCGTTTTTGCGGAGGGGGGGAACGTTTTCGCGTTGCGAGCGAAGGCAAACGAGGAAAAGACCAGACAAGGTAGAGTGAAATTGTATCTCGATGACGAAGTCGAAGATTTAGAAGCGCCATCGTAAATGCCGATTCGATTTCGGGAATGAAGGGACATAGTGGGAGGCAGTTGTGGGAAATTTGCCAAAACTCGGACCAGAAATCGGTCTTCTCGCGTATGTTTGCCTCCCCACGAGTGTTCGGAGCCACCTCGTGAATCCGTGGGTAATACGACACCCGCTGTCATCGTGATCGCAACGCGATTACGAAATTATCGAGCTCGTTCTCGCGAGATCGTTCTTCCTTAAGATTAACCCCCCCTCCACCCCTTCCACCCCTTGCCGGCGAGAAGAGGACAACGGTTGAGAAGAAGAAAAACGGTTTTGATTGCGATTTATTTCCGCATTTGAAAATAGCGTGCACTGTACGTACAGTCTAGTACGTGTGCGCTTCTCCGCACGAAGGCGAGGCTACGAACGAAAAAGTAGAAGACGTAGCGCGGCGATAATTCTAATCGACGGCTTTATATGCACTCTCCTCCACAATCTCCTCCTTCTCTTGCGTTCCTCGAGCTGACGAGGAGGAAGCGAGGTGAGCTCATTCCAAAACGTTTTGCCCCGCGTCATCGGCTGTAGAGCGCGGCTGACTGGCGCGTCTTGTATTCCTCAATCTCCTCTTCATCCACCGCCTTCTCTCTCTCTCTCTCTCTCTCTGATTCTCTCGAGCAGCGACCGACAACGATCCTTTGTGGCTCTTCTCCGTGTGTCTCCACAACCTCTCCTCTCTTCCGGCTCTCCGGAGTGTGTGTCATCGGGCCTAATCACGCGCACCTCCGAGAACCGAATCTTACTTACTTTCACGCAATCGTTGACCTCGGTTTCCTTGTCGAACCGTGAACAGTCACGTACCCGTTATTCCGAGAAAACCTCCGTTTCCTATATAACGCTTGAATCGCTTTGTTAACGCGATTAAAAGGGGGAGAGGGAGAGGGAAAGATGCGTCGTTGGAGCGGCAGGCGTCGATGTATGCGAGGCGACGCGTCTCCCATCGGGAAAAATTACGGAATCTCGAGTTCTAGAGAGGCACGGACGTCATCGATATTCAGCCTTCCGTAGAAGGAGGTTTACGACTCGGTTACACGCGACTCGATACACGCGCGCGCGCATACGGCGTGGTGTAGAAACACGCTCGCTACGTGAGCGTGTATATTGTTACATCTTGCCCGCGAACAAGCAGTGGTGCAGTTTGTTTGAAAAGATAAGACCAGATCGAACGTAAGGCCAATAATTTCGGGCTGACGTCACTCTCTATTTCCTCCGCTCTTACACCTTGGGACAACACAGATCACACCGTTTACTTTGCCTCTATTCGACCGGCCGCGAATATCACATACGTACATATATATATATATAATTAGAGAATGGCGCGAGTATTCGTAAATGCAGATAAGTTTATCGGTTTTTACGCGGATCCAGTGGAAGGAATCGCGAAAAAGCGGGATGATAATGGAGTACGTTCGACAAACACGATGAATTCTCCGATCCTTCCAACTTGAAATTCTTCCTCCTCCTACAGAGAAGAATTCCACGTGAAATTCCACATTTGCAAATTGGGAAATTTCTTCGGGATTGCGCGTTAATAATTTTAATCGCAAAATTTTCCTCTTTTTTTTTTTTTTTTTTTNTTTTTTTTTTTTTTTTTTTCTTTATTTGCAGCTGCATATCCATCAAGCTTATTACTCGATCGTAATAAAATCCAATAGCAACGGCAGTGGTGTTAATAATCCGAAGTGGGAACGAAGAAGAAAGTATCGGTGACTTATTTCCATCGAGCGCGTTCCCTTTCATTTGGTCCGATTAAAACCGGTGTCACTGACCGACACCCGTTCCCCTCGTGTATCCATGTGTTTTTCGAGAGTAACGCACGTATGAACGAGCCTTAAGTCCTCTTAAGAAGCGAGAGAAAGAAAGAAAGAAAGAAAGAAAGAAAGAAAGAAAGAAAGGAAGGAAGAAAGAGGGAGAGAAAAAAAAAAAAAGAACGAACAGAAATGCATTCCAGCATGGAAGGTGGGATGGATCCGTCTCTGATAACCCGCCCATCGGAATGCGTACCTCGTACACCTTGGCGTATTCTCCCTCTCGATTCCACCGCTATTCAAGTGCATCTACTCGCATCGTCGCACATATTTCGGTTGTATTTTTAGAAAACGTCGTTTATTAATAATACCTCTTCCCCGCCAACCGTTAAAGGATCATGGATCCTCCCACCGATATTATTCCTCTTACTAACGGATATAATGTATATCATTTTCGTCCACGATTACGATGTGACGTAATAACATAATTTATCAAGTTTCTTCCATTCGACGAAAGAGGCGCTTATTAACCGTATATAATATATATATATATACATGGTATATGTCGTAACGTTAAAAAAGAAGGGAGCACGTTTCCCATCGATAAGTTAATCGCGCGATCAGTATAGGGCAGTATATGCTGGGAGGGAAGGGCGAGGGAAGGCAAACTCTATATACTTTGTCCAAAATTGTCAGAGGGCTATTATTACCCGAAGCACGCGCTTCGCCTCGCTCGCTCACTCGCAGTTGGTGCACGCTCGAAACGCGTATATGTCCGCGCGTACTCGTTCATTCATCGCGGTCCACGGTGGCAGGAACCACCGTCGTTCGTAGAATGAATACACGGGCCTGGGGTCCGATATGTCATACGTACGAGGCTATGTTGCATCTCGATGCGTTCAAACACTCGTCGGTTTCCCCGTCCTCTCTTCTTCGGTGTATACGAGCGAGTATGTGTGTGTGTGTGTGTGTGTACATCTGTGTGTGCGTGTGTGGCCGGGGGCCTATTTTTAAACCGGTCCAAGACTATTTTTAGAGTCAGCCTTTCACGTAGTGCCCACCAGCGCTTAACCCTGACTTCCACCGTCCTACGTTTTCGTGGACCTAGAGGGACACAAGAGAGGGAACATCTCGAGTTCCTTGACTCGTTTATTTCATTTCTCGAGAGATATAAATCGGAAATCGCGGATCTCGTGCGCCCATCTTTCTCCCTTGCGAGATATCCTTACGAGAATTTCCACCCTCGAGGTGGAATTACACTTACTAGCTGTTGATAATAACGCGCAAACATATCCAACTATTACGACAACAACGATGACGCAACTTCGCGTTCCTATTTCTGGAGGCAGACGTGTGAATCGAACAACTCACCCTCTGCCCTGATTTCGCGTTCTTCGTGACGCGAGCTTAAATCCAGAGAGGAACATCGCTCGATTTATCATCGAATATACTAAATTTTATTCTAAATTTTGTTTCGTGAATGACCCATATACTTATATATATATATATATTTCTTCTCTCTTCAACCGTATACGAAAAATTGACTCGAAGTTGATAGAAGGTTATAAACTGTATCGAGGCGAGTAGGAGAGATCTCTTAATAAAAATAACGATAACAAATCATCGAACGTAAAGATGTATTTATAGAAAGAACTCGAGGGCCTGAATCGATCGCCGTACGTCTATTAATTATTCCAGAGATTCCATTGGAATCGTGGTCGAGAGAAAGAGAAGGAACGATCTAGCTGTGGGAGGCTCTTAACGAGAATTTCGTTTCTCGTTTTCTCCCTCTTGAAAGTATATCGATTATATAGCAACTGGTCGAAAAGGGATCAACTTCGTTCCGTCGAAGGAGCAAAGGAAGAGGAGCTAATCCTTCGCGCACGCCTTCGGTTACCAAATGTATTAATAGCGTAATTAACTTGGAGCAAAATCGCGATTATAACAGCGCGAGGTGTAATGCGATAAATTATGATGATTTAAAGCGACTCATTGATCACGCGAAGTAATTCATTTCCTTAATTGCCGACCGTCGTCTGGTGAAGTTGGAATAAGGCGAGGAAAGATAAAGCGGCGAGATGCATAAATAACGACGATCGGCAATGTCGCAATTGGACGCGATTCGAACTTGTGTGAGGGGGAGAAAAAAAGGAGGGAGGAAAAAAGGAAAGAAAGAAAAAGAATCCTCCGCAAAATGGACTTCGCGATCTCTTCGATGTAAACAGATCCGCGAGCGGACGATAATCAATCGTTTAAGCCTCGTGTTACGATTAATGAATCGCGAGAAATAAGCTGGGAGGATTTTTAAACCGTGCAAAAAACGTATTCTTAGACTTCAATAAACCCTCCTCCCGGTTTATCTTCGACGTCTCTGCTCGTGTTCTCTCGGTCGAATCTTCTTTTTTCCAACATCCTCGCATGAATGGATGCACAGTACCCGGGCATTCGGGGTGTAACGAGCCGCGTGCACTCAAATATAGTTGGAAGCTTTCTTCTTCTTCTTCTTCTTCTTCTTCTTCTCTCTGAATCTCTTCTGTTCTCCGCTCCTTCCTTCCTTCCTTCCCTCCTTCCTTATAAAACTAGATAACATCGATCTAGTTTTTACCTAAAATGAAAAAAAAAAAAAAAAGAAAAATACAATTTTTAGAATAGCAAATAAACAAAAGTTAAGCGAAACTTTGTCGAATTGCAGGTGAATACCGGATCACCGGCGGAAGCGGCCGGTCTGAAGGCCGGCGATGCAGTAATCAGGGTGAATAACACGGAGATGTACAATCTGAGGCACAAGGACGCGCAGGACGTTATCGTGAGAGCCGGGAACAACTTCGAGTTGACCGTACAGAGGTAGATGCAGGCACGGCCGAATCTTTTCAACATTTCGCCTCTCCATATCGCGTACATCATCCGTTCTATCATTTCGATTTACCTCGATTTGTTCACAGAGGTGGAGGTACCTGGAAACCGCACGTGTCTCCGATAAGCTCTACCCTGCCCTCGCCGTCCCCTACCAGCGGATTGTGCAATATAGCTCCAGTTACGAAAACATCGCTGGCGGCCAAGAAACAAGATGGGCCGCTCATAGGGAGCGGTCACAATTTCAGCCCGAAACCATTCGTTCGTGTCGTTCGTTAATCGATGGAGCTAGATGCTCCAATTAACTATTCATTGGATGATTTATTTTCGTGTTTATTATTCGTGTTACAGCTTAATGGAACGGGAGACGGTTCGATCAAATCGATCGTTAACAAACAGTACAACAGCCCAGTAGGTATCTACAGCGAGGAGACCATAGCGGAAACTCTTTCCGCGCAAGCGGAAGTTCTAGCCGGCGGTGTGCTCGGGTAAGAGGAAGATCGATCGTTGTCCAAGATAATGAAAATATAACGTATAAGTTATATAAGTATATAGAAATAGGATTGTTTCGATAATAACGGTGTTGTAATTGTTTGCAGAGTGAATTTCAAGAAGAACGAGAAGAATTACAATGCCGAGAACAGCGAGGTATTCAAAATGGTTCAGGAAGCTGACAAAGAGCCAAAGACACCGGAACCTGGTTAGTAATCGATCAGCGTTTACAGAAAATTCTTAACTTAGAGAAAGAGAAAAAAAATCGATCCATTCTCTTTTGATCTGTGAAATTTATATTTATATTTGGAACGAGATTCCAATTGTTCTTCTCTCTTGTTGTTTAATATATATATATATATAATTATTGTAAACGAAAGGAAATGAAAAAAAAAAGAAAGAAATCAAAGAAAAATCTTTGGAGAGTCGTTACATACGAAGAGTTGTTGTAACGGTAGTTAGTCGGGCGCGTAACAGTGGAACGAAGGAATCGTTAAAAAGAGCGTGACGCGCGATAAATAATTCTCTCCAGCGATTTTTCGATTGGATCAACTGGCTCCAGTTAGCCTGGTGCATGCCGGTACGATAACTTCTTTGCGAAATAGCGGAGCCAACTGCGCAGAGCGGCGTGATTACGCCGTGCTCGCCGGCCCTGGCAGGACTGAGGCCAGTCTCGGCACCGGAAACGAAGCAGCAGTCGCAACCGTCCACGCCGCAATCGAGCCTTCCACCTGGACAGAACGTTTGTGCCGAATGCGAGAGGCTCATCGTGTAAGTTCACGCCAAGAGGCGCATCGCCCTCTCGGTCGTTACTTTCTTTCTTTCAGAGGCATCGAGAAATCGGGAAAGGGACAGGAAAAAAAAAAAAAAAAAAAAAAGAAAAAAGAAAAAAAGAAAAAGAAAATAGGACGATTCTGTATCTAATCTCGACGAGGTGGAAGAGAAGCGGCACGTTTTTTTACATTTCGATCCCCAACGTCGAATCGGGATACGCGTTCCTCTCCTCTTCGTTCGTTTCGTTTTTTTTTTTTTTTTTTTTTTTTTTTTNTTTTTTTTTTTTTTTTTTTTTTTTTTTTTTTAAGAAACTGGATACGTTCTCGTCTTTTAAGAAGAGCGAGAAGGGTAAGAAGGACGCGAGAAGGGTTCGATACGACTTGGAAATCGATGGAGGACAAGAGATGACAGAGGATAAACCCCCCACCCCCATCCTCTCCCTCCTTAAGGGAGATAGAACAGTCCGTTTTGTTGTTCGTTGTGCTCACGGTTATTAGACATTATTTCTTCGTACTGGTCGAGTCACAGAACGGTTTCTCTTACTTCCATGCCGTAGTTTCTTCGAGAACAGAGTTTTACTCGTCGGTGAGCCACGCCGTTGGCGGAAGAGCCACTTCGCCGAGATCACCCACGCCTCTCTTTCATGCACTCCATGGTAGTAGGAGTCCAGCCGTCAATTTCAATGAAAGTCCGTCGTCGAAACATCAAGTGCAACGACAGGAGTCCTCCTCTTCTTCCCCCTCGGGATCATCGGGTGTTCGTTGTAACAACTGCGACCGAGTGATCGTGTAACTATTCAACGTGAAATCCTCTCTCTCTCTCTCTCTCTCTCTCTTTCTTTCTTTCTTTCTTTCTTTCTCTTTTTTCCTTGCACGGTCGAGATGGACCGGACTATTTCGACGATATGTCGCTTTTCACATGCGCAGAAGTAACGTAAGCACGTATATGTGGGCAGGAACGAGTTCGCGATTCCGTGATTTCTTTTTTTTTTTTTTTCCTTTTTTTCTCTTTCTTTTTGCTTTTTTCATGTGTATATCATTATTTATCGAATCGTGACTCTCGTTCCTAGCGTAACCAAAAAACAAAAAGAATATATATTGTATATACACGCTGAATTATGACCGCCTGGATTGTTGTCGTGTCGCCTGGTATCATCTCGAAATGCTTTTTTTGATATTGATAGACGAAAACGAAATCTTTATGGATCTTTATGCATTCGTCCATTCGTAGATCGATACTCGAATCGTAATTGGTGTTTACACAAGTGCACGTTTTGCCGCTATGTTTTTTTTGGTATGGAAGCACAGAACCCCTTTCTCTTGTCGCCTCTGTCGTCGATTTTTTCGCTTCTTCGAAAAAAAAAAAAAAAAAGAAAAAGAAAAAAGTAAATGAATAAATGTTTCGAACATTCACGAACATTCTCATCATTTTCTCTGTAGAAAAGTGTGGATATCATATGCAATTGTAAAAGCTTCCTCTCGCTTAATTTTTATAGGAATTGATTAGCAAGATCTAATGTGTTCATTTTTTTTCGACCTTCATCGCATCTTTTCAACGTAGCATTTTTTATGTCACTTTATGTCGAATTACATATTGGTATGTAATCGCCGGGATGGCATAGATCCAATGGCTTTCAATGTTGTGACATTTTTTTTTTTTTTTGTTTTTGAACGTGTTTTTTTTTTTTGTATCAATGTTGTGTTCTTTTTTGTATATTTTTTCCTGTATATTCTTTTTTCTTCTCTTTTTGTCAAAAACATTCGAATATTTTTTTTTTTTTTCGAATATCCCACAAACAAAATTTTTTCATCGCTTCGCGATTTTTCTCGTCTCATTCTCGAATGTTATTATGAACACTTATATATATTTTACTGTTCTCGTATATATATTTTTAAGTAATTTTAAGTTAATGTTTTTTATCAATTTTTTATCAAGAATACATTATTCATCTCTCGAACAAACGATGTGTATCTCATTAAGAATTAACTGAGATTCATTTCACTTAACAGAGCATCACGAAATCACCAGTAAATCTTAATTACTCAAAAATTACACCACGTGTAACGCGAACCCCGCATTCTCGGCCTCTTTCGTCGAGGTATCGAGTCCACTCCCCACTTTTTTTTTCTCGACACTTAATAGCAAAGAAAAAAAAAACTCGTGGCACATCCGACAAGCAAAAGCACTCTCAACCCTTTATTAAAAAAAAAAAAAAAACAATCGAACACGTAAACAAAAAAAAAAGAAAAAAGAACCTCTCTTCTAATCGATTATTCTTTCTCTCTCTCTCTCTCTCTCCGCAGAGGTGTCTTCGTAAGAATCAAGGACAAGAATCTTCACGTGGAGTGTTTCAAATGCTCCACTTGCGGCACTTCCTTGAAAAACGTCGGCTACTATAATATCAACAACAAATTGTATTGCGACATACACGCGAAATTGGTCGCCAGGCAAAATGCACCTGCTGGCATGGTTCCAATCACTATACCACCGTAAGTATGTTGAATCATAAGGAAATCGGGGAGAATCATGCGCGAAATATGCGCAGAATTTAAATAACGCGCTAAATAAAAAAAAAAAAAAAAACGTTTCAGGGGCGGTAATAAGGCTCCTGCGAGCACCATTTCCGCCGCTCTCGCGCATGCTCCATTATCTCCACCCTTGAGCAATCACGCATCGTCGCCCCAACCGTTCTCCGTAAGTTCATCCTTCGACCGCAATTATTATTATTATTATTATTATTATTATTATTATTATTATTATTATTATTAATATTGTTATTATTATTGTTATTATTATTATCGTATCTCGAGTTTATTGCATCACGAGTTTTTTTTTGCTTCACGAGTGACAAGCAAATTAATATTCGTTTGATCGCTTGCTACGAAGAACACGAACGTAATAGTAGTAATAGCAGTAGTTAGTTTTATAGAATCGAAGAAGAATACGAAGATTCTTCCCATCGTTGGAAGAATCCTGATCCCGAGAGAAAATTGGGATGAAAATAATTAAGATGTAACATTGTGTGTGTGGTATTTCTTTTTCTTTTTTTTTTTTTTTTTTTTTTTTTTCTCGCTCGCCACTAATCGCTTTTCCAGGCTTGCAATCGTTCGAGTCCCGATTACTTCGGATCCCCGAATTCTCAGCTATCGCCCCTCGATAAGAACGGATACATCAGCAACGGCAACTGCAACTGGGAATCGAAAACGTTTACGAGCACGATCACCATTCAGACGGGTTGCACAGAGGTTCGCAATTAATTAATCCGGTGAATTTTATCCGATTTTTTTTTTTTTGGAAAAATCGTCGTTTCGTTGTTGTTCCATAGTGTTCCAAAGAAAAAAGAAAGAAAGAAAAAAAAGTAAAAGTAATTATTCAATCAAATAATTTAATTACTCCCTCCCTCGTCGTCGCTGCTTGTCCAACTGTCTGACAGAATATATCCCTTTATAATTAACGTATATAATAATACGAAGAAGGTAAACAATGGTTGAAAATATCGCGCTGAATCAAATCGAAAATGGAATGCGGATCTAAATAAAAATGAATAGACGGACAGAGACGGAGGAAGGAAGCGAGGCTCGGGTCGGAGAAGGAAAGATACAACTAATTACGAAACTTATTATGATAATCGTTATGATGATATTCGACCTGATCGTCCTTCTGTTTCGCGAACTTCCCTATGCCACAAGACTACAAGAATAGGTTTTGCCAACCGGGAATCTTGATCATTCGCGTCGGCGACGATTATTTCGAAGCTGTGACTAATTACCCTGGCGCGATTACGAGTGTGCGTGTTGCCACAACTCTCTCTCTCTCTCTCTCCCCCTTTTTTCAAGTTGCCACTTCCACGTGACATCGTTCTGTCGTTTTATGTATTACAGCCCACCCGCCTTGGCACTACGCCCGTCGATCCACCCAGTTTCCGATCAGTCCAGGTAATGTCCCAACGCGACTCGCCTTAAACGTTTCACACTCGTTACCTTACGCTTAAGGGTAAGGTACGTCCTTAGCGATCCGATGAAAATCACGCTGAACGCGGTGCCGCTGCTTTGAGTACCAGAGATATGTTCTCCGCAAAAGTACGTCGATCGATAGTTTAAAAAGAATGGAAAATTATAAAAGAATCCCCTTTAAAACCGTGTGATTTGTAAATGTAAAAAAAAAGATATAGATCGTGACTCGAAACATATATATTTATATACGTATAATCGAGTTTATAATCGTGATTTAAGTGCGTGAAATAACGGTGATTCGAAGGAAAATCTTTCAAAAAGTTGTCGTTGTTATTTGAGAGGAAAGATGCTGAATGTGTGGAATGAAAAAAAAAAAAAAAAATGTAGCTTACGATAGCTTTTACGATAAGTAAGATCGTGTATTTTTTTTCTTTTTTTTTTTTTCCCTAGTGTCTTTCCCTTTAAGAGACATGGTGTCAAGGCAGTGGCGAATAAAAAAAGAAAAATCATCGATGCTCTGATCGATTTCTGTTCCAAACATTCGATTGAGAGTCCAGAGCTTAGCTAGTTCATTCAGGTCGTTAGCAATATGCACTGCATTTTGTCATGTTGTTTGTCACCACGCCTCGTTCGTAATTCTCACCATCACGATGAAATCATACATGTACATCCATCATCATCGCATTCGTTGTTGGAATGCAACGTATCAACGTTCATCATTTAGTTCATCATTTTATTATCGTTTAACATCATTGTGTCATTGTATTTCTCGTTATCGCGCTTTTTGCGCAAAAAGAAAGAAAAAAACAAGCGAATAATAAAATATTTATATCTATCACACAGGCTCCAACGTCGAACAATTTAATTGGTCCTAAACCGTTTGGATCGTCCAATATATCGTCCCCTCCACTAGCGAGCACAGGAAGTAGCACTCTGCCACGACCCCAGAGTCAGACTGTGACCGGTAAGTAACATCATCCTTCACAATTCACAATTCATCGCGGCTAGATTCGTCCCAATCGAATCCGTCGTTAAGGTGAAGATTCTCGTTCGAGAATCATTCGAGAAATTATGCATCAGAAGCTTGCAAACCGAAATCGTTCTTCCGTCCACGGCTTGTCATTACATAATTGAACATCGCTGTTATTATGTAACAACAGTACATTTTCTCTTGGAATAAAATTGGTTAAAAAATGAACACGTTGCAGAGAAGAAGAAAAAAAAGAAAAAAGAAAAAAAGAACTCCTTCGTCCTTCCGTAGAAGCACGATTTTTAGAGTACCTATGCTTTTCGCCCCCCCTCCCCCTCCCCCCAACTGGTTACGTGCATGAGATTCCGCGTCGCGTCGCGAGCATTCTAACGATAATTACGACAAGCACGCCACAGGCATGTCAACCCGGAATCCTAGGAGGAAACAAAAGCGGAAATTGCGGTCGTATAAATTACCGATGACAAGCTCGACTTTCTCGTTTGGTATATCTGGAGGAACGATCTCTCTCTCTCTCTCTCTCTCTCTTTCTCTCTCTCTCTCTCTCTTTCTCTCTCTCTGGTCGATCGCGTTCGTAATCCTAATGGCGAATCCGCCTTTATTATCCTTGGCCTCACATCGTCTTCGATTGTTGTTTGCAAATAGGTCTCTTCTCGCCACTGACGAACGAGCAAAAATTATCTACGCCGTTCGCAACGAGGATCCCTTTTGACCGAGTTTTCTAGCTTTGGTTAACATGCCCCATTTGGCTTACGTCCCTCGCATCGTGTTTTTTTTCTTTCTCTCTCTCTCTCTCTCTCTCTCTCTCTCTCTCTCTCTCTCTCTCTCTCTCTCTCTCTCTCTCTCTCTCTCTCTCTCTCTCTCTGTGTCTTTCTCTCGCTCTCCATTCGCATCTTCGTTCGTTGATTCGACGCTCATCAGACGATCGATCGATCGATCGTTTGGAAATAATATCGAAATAACGACACGATCATCCTCTCATTTACGAGCTCTCATCGTGGAACTATTATTCTTTCGTTACGTCTCGTTTTCGTCGACGGTGAATTTTGGCGGGTTTGTCGTCGATATTTCGTCTTCGAAAGGGCAAGAATGTCGATCGTTATCTCGTCATCACGATGACACGATTGTTTAAATATTTATCATCTATGGAGCAACTGGATGACGATGACGATGATGCAGACTTGATCGAAACGAAACTGGGACGATTGAATTCGAGACCCGAATAAATAGAGACCTGAATAAATGAGTCTGTTTCGATAGAGAGAGAGCTTATGTAACGAGACTACGTGCACGTGTTGCTTTTCCTATCTCGTATTCGCGTATCTTTCTTTATATTTTTTTTTTTTTTTTTTTTTTTTAATTTTCTCTTTCTCATTACTTGCGCGACATTAGTATCGAAGAGATTTTACGGGATTACGGTATAATAGAATACCAGTGAAAAGATGAATGGTTTACAAAATTTCGGGAAATCGAATTGGTATTTCGATTCGAAAGTCGTATTCCCGGACATAATTTTTTTCTTTTCTTATCTTTTTTCAGCCGGTCCATCTTTCAACCCGAAACCCAGACCTTTCTCCCTCACGTTCGCATGAGTCGGTAGCTCTCAGCTACGCCGTCGCCGTCTTCGTGCTGACAGCTGACAGAATCGAACAATCCAATATTTCTATGCATATAACTTTTATTTATATTCGACATTCACGATTCTTCTTTAATCTCTAAATAATAAAAAAAAAAAAAATCAATTCCAATTTCGTAATTTAAACCTTTTTTTTCTTTTCAACATCCAATTATTCGATCGATTTTCTCTCTTTCTCTTTCTCTCTCTTTCTCTCTCTTTATCTCTCTCTTTCTCTCTCTTTCTCTGTCTTCTTGGACTCGATCGAGGAATCAGTTATTTCGAGATTGAAAGGATTGTGTGTCGAATCCATGTATATTATTATGTCGATCGAAATGATTTTCTCGTAAAGTGTTGAAAAATTAATTAATACTTAATTGCTAAATAAAGCGATAGTTAAGCCGAGCAAATCTCTTCGCTCAATACATGTTACTCCTTTTTTTCCATTCTCACATCGTGTACGCTTACATGAATACACACATACATGCACATACACACACACATTTTCAAGGCCCTTCAAAATATAAAATATCGTTGATTAACTACATTCATTGTCCTAGCTTCGCATCGCCACCTTCGAGATGCGCTCGAGGTCGAGATGCTAACCCATTTGCGCTCGAAATACGTGTTTTCTTTTTTTTTCCTAACGATTGTTCAGAGATGCGATTGATCTTCGAAATATATCCATTTCGCCATATAATCATATATATATATATATATATATGTATATTCAACGACGGAGTGTTCGAATTTGATGTTGGAGAATTGCGACTGCAACGCGTTTGATCAATCATCTCGTTCACGAATTTTGATTTTTCGCCGCTTAAACGTAGCTGCTCGATCATGAGATCATTGTGAATCATGATTATTGGCTATCGTTTATCATTTTTTTTTTTTTTCGTTCTTAAGTTGCGCTTCTTTTTTTTTTATTTAGCGCCCTGGACGTGCCCGCGATCCATTAATTCCGTAAATCATTCGACATCGATCGCCGACAATGAATTTATATTTAGAGAAGAAGAAAAAGAAAAGAAAGAAAAGAAAGAAAAGAAAGGATCACGGGCACGTGTCGGTCAATGTGCTTCTTACTCACAGCTGATTTCTTTGTTTTTTTTTTTTTTTCGTTCTTTCTAACACACCCCCGACACTCCTCCAAACACCTGCCCCGCCTGTGTTGTAAAAAAAAAAAAAAAAAAAAACACGCGTGTGTTAAACGTTTTCGTTTTTTGTGTCTTGTACACCTCGCAAATCTGATTTACCCGTTTGCCCGCCTCCGACTGTGAGCACCCTGTGCGTAAAAAACATTCCATCCCGATCCCGTCTCCGTCGCGGAAAAAAAAAAAAAAAATCTCCCTCGAATCCCGATCCCAGAAAACTCGATCGAGACAAGCCACGAGGAAAAATCCTATTATTACGAGATCGTGGAGGATACGAAAACCGAGTGCCGTCCAACCTCGTCCGTGAAATCGAAAAGTCTCTCCTGGCCACCCCGAAAACCGATCGAGGATATCACCTATCCGACCGCGAGTCCTTTGTACATCGATCCCAATCCGGCCCTCGATCGAAGGAGTAGACAGGCGGTGAGGGAGAAGAAGGCTTGCATCGAGGCCTGCGAAAGGGCACTGACCAGGAAGAGGGGGGAGAGCACGGATCGCGAGGTGGAGAGCGCCATGGATCGGGTCAGTTGTCCGGGGCCAACTTACAGGAGGGTCGAGCTGGTCGAGGCAACGGGGAGGCAGTCGAGGAGCGAGATAACCTCGAGGCCCAGCTCGACCGACAGCGTGAGGAGATCCTTGACGCCGACCAGGATCGTTCAACCGGTGCCGAAACCGTGGACGGCAACGGTCACGACCGGCGCCAATCTCTACGAGCAGAGTTACGGGATCGAGCCGCCGAGAGTGTGCAAGAAGTACCATCAAAAGGAGATATGCCAAAGGGAGCGTATATGCGAGAGGAACCAACCGTTCCGGGAGGAGCACCGCTCGTATCGATCCGAGATCTGTAGACGGGAGGAGACGATTTGCGAGAAGCCGCCGCTGCCCAGCCAACGCGTCGCGACGACTAGGCAGGAGGAAGCGAGGGAGGAGATCACGGAGATCGACAAGGAGGTGACGGATTTGAGGCCGGCGGACGAGATCGAGGAGGAAGGTGTCGGAGGAGGAGGGATCAAGGGGGAGCACGACTTCGTAACGGAGACGTCGGAGGAAGACGTGGATGGGATGCACGTGAAGAAGAAAATGACGTTCGAGAAGACTGTTGAGAGAATCCCGTCTCCCGCGCGCCCGAGCTCCCCTGTGGTCGTGGAGGGGAGAAGGGAGGAGGAAAGGGAGGAGGAAAGGGAGGAGACGGTGGAGGAGAAGTCGGAGGAAATTTACGAGAGGAAAAGGTCGACTCACGTGGACAGACAAGTGGAGGAGACGGAGGAGAGGACGGTGGTAGAATCAGCGGAGGTGGTCACCTCTGCGGTGGACGTGCAACAGATGGTGGAGAAAGCGAAGCGGGAGGAAGAGGAGAGGAAGCGGGAGGAGGAGGAGGAGGAGAGGCGGAAGGAGGAGGAGGAGGAGCGGAGAAGGAAGCAAAGGGAGGAGGAGGAGAAGGAACGAAGAAGGCGCGAGGAGGAGGAGCGTAGGAGACGGGAGGAAGAAGAGGAAGAACGGAGCAGGCGCGTGACTTTTGAGGCAGGGGAGGAGGTGGAGGAAGTTCGGGAACAACCTCTGGGAAGAACGGTGGTCCGCGAGGAAAGGGTGACGGAAGAGGAGAGCGACACCCCCGGGAAGAAGAAACTCGTGAAAGAGACCTACGAGGAGATCACGGAAGAGGTGTTGGTTCAAGAGCGCGTAAGAAGAAAGGGGATCGAAGAGGATCGGAAGAAGAGCCTGAGGGAGCAGGTGCAGGTCCATCAAAGTTTGAGGGATCAACAAGCACCCAAGGATAGACGCGTGTGCTCCAAGTATCCCCCGGCTCAGGAGATCATGGAGACTAATAAAAAACGCGTGCAGTTCGTGAAGCAGACCGACACAGGCCCGAAACCGATACCGCATTCCGCCCTTCAGAATTCCACCCCGAAAGAGTGGAAATCCGAGATGGTGAACGCCTTAACGACCGCGCCTGACCGACCTTACACGCCTCTCAGTACATCTTCGAGCGTGAAGGAAGTGTACACCGAGGAGACGATATACCTGGATCACAGGTGTCGGCCTAAACCACCTCCGAAGGAGGAACTCCGGCCAATTTCCCCGTTTCAGGAGGCGCTAATGATCGCGCCTGAACGGCCGTACACGCCGCTCAGCCGCGAGATCGGGCCGGACGATCAGAAAATCGCGAGCCGTTCTCAGACTCCTGTGCTCCAAGGAGGCGTCCACTGGCCCCCTTCCGATATCCTGTTCGGCGAGGGGAAAATCCGCGCGGAACCACCTCCCAAACCGTCCACCCCTCGGCCTTTGCCCACTCCACCGCCTGATTATCGCCTGAGAGACTCTTCCCCCGTGAGATCGAGGCCGCAGACACCGTGCAGCAAAGCTATAACGGCCACGTTGAAGAAGCCGGACACTATCCCCTCTTATCAGAGATACTTAGTGGCGACGAGGAAAGACGCGGTGGAGAGCTACACGTACCAACCGAGTAGAACTCCCACGCCAACGCCAGGAAGGTCGAAGTCGCCCGCCCAAGGGCCGCCGGAACCGCCCTCCTGCTTCGTCAAGGCCCACGCGCCAAGAATAAGGGAGGATCCTCCGCCTAAGCGAAGCGCCATACACTTCCCTACCAAGAAAAGCGTTTCCTACAAAATAGACGAGGACACGGACGACGGGCATAGGCACGCCGAGTATGTGGCGAGCAAGACGGTAGATTTCGACGAGAAACGAACCGACGACCCGGGCCAAGAGCCGACGGACGCGGTCCACGCTCAATACCAGGAGAAACGATACATGACCAGCAAAGAAACGCACGAGCAAAAGCAATCGGTGACGAAAAAATCGCTCGAAGTAACGGAAGATTTTGAGAGATGCGAGAAAAGAGTTCCGGCTCGACCATTGCCAGAGCCACGGGAGAAACCGTCTAAGCCATCCGTCTGCGCGATCGGTAGAACGAGCCCCTCCAAACCCTCGTTACCTTGCCCCATGGCTTCGGAAACCAGCGCTCCTCAACCGGTGTACAGCAGCTCGACGGAGGTGCGCCACGTCAGTTACGCGCCTCCCCCGAAATCGAAACCGTGCCCCGACACCGGCGTAACCGTGTTGCCGTGCAAAGCTCACTCCGACCAAGGCACGAAAGCAGGGGTGGTGGTGGTACCTTGCGAAGGGCCGATTCCTTGCTGCGAAAAATCAGGGGTGTGCGTGGTCCCAACCTCGGACCGGTCGGGAGTCTGCGTCTCCCCGTGCTTCGGGATGAAAACGGGGACCTGCGGCCAACCGTCCGGCCGTTGCGGCAAAGAGGAGCCAGCCTGCGACATCGAGATCCCTCCCAATTGCCCCGAGTCTGGAATCTGCGTATCCCCGTGCCCCGATGGCTCGGTCTGCGTGGCTCCTTGCACCAAGCCCGGTTTACCTCCTTCGAGGGCGAAGAAACTTCCCTTCCCTCAGATACCTTTCCCCTACGACGACCCCCCCCCACCTTGCTCTCAAAGTAGAAATTCCTTCGAGCCTATTCACAAGCCTCGCACTAATTTGAGCGGGCAGCTAGCGCGGCTCACTTGCAAAACCGGGAGAACCGGCCAGAACGTTCCCACCATCCAATTGTACAAGCCCGAAGCTCAACAATGCGAAAAAGCTCGAAGCTGCAGCGAGACAAAGAGCTATTGCTGTAAAAGCTATTGTTCCTCCACCGAAACCCGTTGCCAATCGAACGGTCAATGTTCGACCACCACCAGTAATCAATGTGAGACCCAAAATTACTGTCAGGACGGTATCCATTGTGAACCCTCTAGTAATACCCAAAGTTTAGTAGACCCACCAAATTTGTCATCCCACCCGGATCTAGGTACCGGAGTCGGTGGTCTCGGTGGTGCCGGGTCGAAGAGCGGAACTTTCGCTGGTAGCAGCGCGCCAAAGCGAGGAAGGGGGATCCTAAACCAAGCAACTGGACCGGGATCACGATTGCCCCTCTGCGCCCATTGCAACTCTTACGTCAGGTACTCCCCCTGTTTGCTGTTAGGTGTGCCGATTGTTGTGTTTTTTTTTTTTTTTCAATGTTTGCCGCATTCTCCTTTTCTTATCTTTATTTCCGTCCTCCATCAACGAACGACGATGATTTTTGAATAGCTTTTTTTTTTTTTTTACCTCGTTCGTTCCGTCAACGTACGCTTGGGAAGGGATTTTCTGTCTCTCTTTCTCTCTCTCTCTTTCTCTCTCTCTCTCTCTCACCGACGATTGTGGTGTTTTTAAACTATATTTTTTTGTCGAATAGAATATTTTTTTGGGTTAATTTACAAATTTTTCTTTGTAAATGATGAAAAACTCGATCCCATTTCTTTTTTTTTTTTTAGGACACATTGCTAGAATTAGAAAACGCAGCAACGATTTTGTAATCTCTTTCTCTTGTTTTTTGTACAGAATATATAAATGTATATTTTTTCCCCTCTTTTTTGAAATTGCTTGTTATTATTGTAAATGTCAAGGAAAGAATCCGCAGATGTACGTAAATTGAGAGCACAACTGTTTTGATCAACTATTTTTTTTTTTTTTATTCGATTTTTGAATAGCTTTAATTCGTTAAAACCTTGTTTTGATGTGATTAACAATGTTAACTTGTTTGCACGATGTTAACAGCTAACGAAGAAAATACTAATCACAAGTCGAACGGTCTCGTCATAAAGCCAGTGTGCTGTAAAAACGACAAAGAGTGTATAAGGTTCGTAAAAATGATCGATTTATGGGCAATTATCGTTTTGATTTGTTGTGTTTTGCTTTCTCGCGTTAAAGCATTACCTTTAAAAAGAAAAAAAGAAAAAAAAAATCTGGATGATATGTAATCGTTCCAATCGTTCAGGGGACCATTCATCACGGCTCTGGGACAGATTTGGTGCCCCGATCACTTTGTCTGCGTGAATACGCAATGTCGTCGACCATTACAAGATATAGGATTCGTAGAAGAGAAGGGACAACTCTACTGCGAATATTGTTTCGAACGTTTCATCGCGCCAAGCTGCAACAAATGCAACAACAAAATCAAAGGCGTAAGTTTTTTTCATTTCTTAAGATAATATTATCATTAGAAAAAAAAACTTGAACTAAACTTATACCGATTGATCGATATGTTTCGATCGATTTTAGGATTGTCTAAACGCAATTGGAAAGCATTTCCACCCTGAATGCTTCAAATGTTCCTATTGCGGCAAACTCTTTGGTAACAGCCCGTTCTTCCTCGAAGAAGGATTGCCCTACTGTGAAGCAGGTTGAATTCAATAATTCAATAATTAGATCGAAAACAAAAAAAAAAAAAAAAAAAGAACAAAAAAGAAACTTGAAACTTGAAATATATAAAAAAATAAGATTTTTCTATTCTTTAACTGGTTATTATTATTATTATTATTATTATTACCTTTCAGATTGGAACGAGTTATTCACGACAAAATGTTTCGCGTGTGGATTCCCAGTCGAAGCTGGAGATCGTTGGGTGGAGGCCCTGAACAATAATTACCACAGCCAGTGTTTCAACTGCACGGTACGCAATTAGTGCGAGAATGCTTCTCGAAATAAACCGATCGATCTTTAGATCGTAGAGAAAGTCAAAGAAATGTATTTTAATCGTTCGTTTCGGGGCGGTTGTTGTTATGTTACAGATGTGCAAGAAGAATCTCGAAGGCCAAAGTTTTTACGCGAAGGGTGGTCGTCCATTCTGCAAAAACCATGCACGTTAATGCACGATTCTTTATGAATATATTAACGCAAAAAAAGAAAAGAAAAGGGAAATAGAGGAGGAGAGGGGAGGGGAGGCTATTTGAAGGAAGAATAGGTTGGAAAGTGGAAAAAAAAAAAGAAAAGAAAAAAAAAAATTACAGAGGAAATCGCGTTATCTTAGCTTTATAATGAGCACGAATTTTTGTCTGCATAAATTATATTTTATCGAGATTATTATTATTTTTTTTTTGTTCTTCTTATAATTGTTTTCGGTCGACGACAATTAACACGATCGTAAAAAAGAAAAAAAAAAAAAAGAAAAAAAGGAAAAAAAAACGAATCGGTGTTAAAAACAACTTTTAACGCCAAATAATTATAGGACGATTTACGAGTATATAAATATTTATTTACGAATACGAATACGTTAATTAAATGCGAACTAATTGCACATCAATTATAATTATAATTTCCTTGATTACTTAAAAACCTTCCTCTGCTTAAAAGCAGGATACCTTCAAGTCGGCAAAGTCGATCGAAAATAAAAACGAAATACAAAAAAAAGAGAAAAAAAGAGAGAGAGAGAGAAAAATGTCCTTCATATATCAAAGATCATTGTTCCAAATATAATCACGTTTCTCGAATTTTCGTGATCGTGCTCGCTTACGATAATACTATACTTACTAAGCGCCCACGTAACCTTCTAAGCAATTGTACTCGGCACAAACTACTCAACTAGGTAGTTGGTAGTTCGAAATGACAATTATCGCGTCGATGATTATCCGTTATATAGTCGCGACTCAATATCAAGAACAGAAGAAGCTAATTAACCGGCTTTGCAGGCTGCTTTACAATTGATTCGAACGAAAGAAAATAGAATGAAATACCTTTGGATTGGAAGCAGGGATTACACAGTCGCATAATAATAATCGCTAGTTTCCTTCGATTTTCGAGATTAAAATTTCCCTTGAACGAAAAGGTTAGTGAGAGAAGAACTTCTCGAGAGGCTATTGAGTTGGCAAAAGTTCCTCGCGTTTCGCTACCTCGACATTCCACGACTAATTGGTGGATTAAGCAGCCATAAAATATCGATGAGACGCAAACTCCTTCTGCTTACGGTTCCGCTTTTAATGTACGCGACACAAGTGATCACGTTTCCCTTGGCGGACAGGTCTTGAATACCTCGTAAAATCGTTGCCGCAGAAAATTCTGCAACGATACAATAAACGCGCCGACTTGGTCTCCTGCTCGAATCACGCAAAGGTCATCCAAGCAATTAGTATTACTGGCATTATCACATATTTCGCATTACCAAAGTGCACCCAACATGAAAATGTTTCTGCTTGTTTCCTTGGAGAGATTCGGGAGAGGATTTGGGTGTTGATAAAGAAAAAAGTCTTAAACGACGAAAAAACTTCTTTACGAGCAAATGGTCAAAATTTAAACTCTCATTTTCATATGTGTTCGAATTTCCTTGATTTCAAAAAAAGCTTTCTCGTAACTGTAAGACGCGCGAATTAATTATCTCTTAATGAATTGAATTTCAAATTCGTGATTATGATTGAAAAACGGCGATGAATACCTACTATTGTGCGCGCGTTGATTGTCAACTGTTGACGAGTTTGACAGAGATAACTTGTTATCTTTCTCGGATCTGAAAATAGAACTCGTTTAGTTAGAATGTTCATACATAGAAATTTTACTTATAAATCATGCAAAATTATACATTACCCTGAAATCAGGCGATTGAAGACGAGCTAAATAACAGGTTTGACTATTATTTCTGTTGGCTAATCATTTTACGAAGAATATTTTTAATTTTGGCATGACCAACTGGAAATCTGGAAATTCTTTTAGCTAAAATTGTACGCAGAAGAGAACAACGCACGTTTTATATTTTACACACACGAATCCGTTTAAAATCCGTTTAGCTTTCAGGGTGCATAAAGAAAATAAAATTTGATGATAAAAATTGACAAATCGAGAATTCGAATACTCGATAGCAATTGCCATGTAATTATAGAAAAGGTTACCGATTTCTGTGCCATTATTACAGACTCGTGTCATGTAGTAGTTATGAAGAAACAAATTAGCAAAGCTAGTTTAAAAACTGGAGGACGTATTTAAGCGTATATTGTATAATTTAGCAAGTAAGAAACACGCGGCGTTCGTAGAATAACTCGCGTTAAAACGTTCGTACAAGAGATGCATAAGAAGTCGATTCGAAAGAAGAAGAATAATCCTTTCTACGATCTGAAATCATCCCAACCAATTCGATATGGCCGATGTGTGTCGCGATAGATCGATCCAGTACTATGAAGGATGCAACTTATTAGGATTAATATTAATTAGATCGACTACTGGCTGAATATCGCAACGAGCTTCTGTATCCGTGTTACGTGTTGCTTACAATAAACTAAAATGTTCGTGTAAATTATTGTCTATAAATTTTACTTCTCGATATCTATCTCCCATATATAATGCCAAGTAAAAATGCAAATCATTGAGAAAAAAAAAAAAAAATAGGAAAGAAATCATACATAACAGTTAAACCATATTGTATCGTATTCGAATTATTCGTGTCGTAAATAGTGATTAGACTTGTAAAAGGAAAGATACCGTGTAAAATTATTAAAGACACAAAATTATGAAGACCCGATCATAAACCATTTCGTCTTTAACCAGGAAGAAGTTGTCCGTAAGGGACGTTTCATCGATTTGTCATTAAAGTAACCTTGCGGTACCTCCTATTTACGAAGCTAGACACGCGAAACATTTTTCTGGTTAATCTTTTTACAATTGATATATTATAATCGTGCACTTCAATGAATGTATTTCTAATAATACAATCACGAATGTAAATTGCAAAGAATATCACTCGAGTGTTTTTTTCTATAATTCGACAAACATTGAGTACAGAGAAAGTATGATAAATTTTTAAGCAAAAGTAAAAGAAAGTGATTAACAATATATATATATATCATCATCATCATCATCATCATCATCATCATTATAAAGCTTTGAACTTTACTGACATTTATGTTATTTATGTTTTGTTTAATAGATTTGTTCACGTGTAATAATCTTTAAACAGACATCTAAATCTAATTCTTTTGGAAGTTCGTGGTCCATGAAACTTCCGGTGTCCTTGTGTCCAGCAAAAGCTGATAAAAGCTAGGAAGCAACGTGAAAGGCGGCATACGAGCAACCTGCGCATCTGCGACCGGGTCAAAGCGATTGCGTAGATTGAAACGTGGCGGTGCACCAGTGAGAATCGAGAATCCGGCTCGCTTGCATGCGGATCTATCTCAAAATATTTAAATATTAAACATTAATTATCAATAGAAATGGCATTTTGAAAACTTAATTCGTTGTAATTGTTGAAAAGCCGCTTTTTCGAATGAAAAAGATAACAAAAAATTATGAAAAATGTACCTGAATACGATTTTCAAATTATCAAGAAGTATTTGTATACATGTTATACATATTAATGTTTTGTGAATGAAAAGTGTAAAATATGACAAGATATCTCATCAAATTTGGAAATTTTTAAGTAAAAATATAAACTTTATATTTCTTTTTTTTGTTTTACACAAAGAAATAACCAAAGAAATAAAATTTTCTTTATTATTGTGAAAAGGAAGACTGGTTGTACTGTGATATCATAATTATTATCTTCGCGCGATCTTCCAAAATATAATGTTTCGTTATGGCAGTGAAATACTTGGATGGTCCTTTTGTGTTCAGACTCAACGACAATGGTATAGGACCACATCTTCTTACACAGGTATATTTTACTTGAATTTACTTTTAATTATCTAGCATTATATATATTATACATATTAGATATATATGATATTTTTATTGAAAAAAATAAAAATCGAACAAATCGTATTTCAATTTCAAACGTGTGTATCATGATTACAATGATGAATGATTTCAATTTTGAAATACAATGAATATATATATATATATAACATCGATAGGTAAGTACATAAATGTTGGATACGTTCCGCCACGCTTTTATGTCGTTTGGAATTTGTTCGACACGGTTACAAACTTAGCCATGCCCTTGAACTGAATACTTTTCAAGGTACATACGATGTGCACATGCACGTACATACCTGCAGAGTCAAACGAGATGCGACGCGCTTTTGCGCGTGCATCATTTTTAGAAGCACAACTATTAAGTAAGCGCAATATGTAATAATGACAGCGAAAAGTAGAATCATCGTGACGATGATAGAGATCTCTTATTATGGTTTATGATCTTTATCTTATGTTCATGAAATTTCAAAACTTCAACTTTAGCAAAAAAGAATTTATTATTCGATATTATTACAATTATATATTTTTTCCATTTAATTATTCTTATCTTTATACTTTTAATTTGAGCTAAGTACATATATGCAATATAATTGAAAATACTTTTTTTTATTTTTAACTTTGATATAAATTTAATAATAAATTTAATATTTCTATGGATGAAATCAAACTCTTATTGATGAATAGAAATAATTCAGGTTATAAGAACAGGGTGTAAATGTGGTCGATGACCTTTCACAGCGAATCGATGATATAAGAAAAGAATAATAAAAGTAGGCTACCGTAACAGTGAAAAGAGATATACTTGAATTTAATTGTAATTAGAGGCCTTGGTTCACTTTTGAAGTAACCATTCTTAATGCTCTAATAACACGACAAATAAATCAACATTTCTGTTATTTTCTCATGTATAAACGTTTCCTAATTGTAGAATGTAAAATATATCTATTGTTTCATTCATTCGAATCACGCATTCACAAGATTTTTTTTTTATTTAAAAAAAATTTAATCTGTAAACAAATACTAAATAAATATATTTTATTTAATTTTATTAAATATAAATACTTGAATTACATACTTTGATCACAGGTTTGTACGGAACGTGGTTGGAGAGAATATACTGGCGAAAATAATGTATTCAAAGATCGATGGAATTTATGGTGGCGATCCGGCGGTTTCCCTTTACCCCATTATAAGCTATTACTTCCGTGGCAGGTAATAGCACATTTAATTTTTTCTTCTAAAATAATTACATAACAAATCAAATTTATTACGAAAAAATGTTTATCAAAATTGTTATATAAAATATATACATTTTAGTTTATCAACAGAATTCCAAAAGGAAGTTCAATCTGTAGAAAAGACAATCTTATCCGTCATCTTAGATGCATGAAGAAAATGCACGGTTCGATCTATGATTTCAGGTATAGTCTATGATATATATATATAATAAGTATAGTCTATAAAAATAATATTTAATCAAAAATAAAACATTAGTCCTATAGGATATAATTTGCCATCGGAATATACTAAATTAGCGGAAGAATGGAGTCGTTGCGAGCATGATAGAGTTTGGATCTGTAAACCAGTTGGTCAGAGTCAAGGCAAAGGAATTTTTTTATTTCGTGTAAGAATTTCGTGTAAGAATTTCATGTAAGATGAATAGCATCTTGAGAGAGAACATAATTAATAAATTTATTAAATGTATAATATTTATAGAAATTAAGTGATCTTACATATGATAATGCAGCAATAGTCCAAAGATATATTGAAAATCCTCTTCTAATCGGGGGCTACAAATTCGATTTACGATTGTACGTGTGCGTACCTTCTTATCGACCTCTAACGATATATTTGTACAAAGAAGGATTGGCACGATTTGCTACGGAAAAATTTTCATTAGAACATATAAATGATTCTTTCCGACATCTTACTAACTTTTCCTTGAATAAATTGGGCCCAGGATATTCTGAGAAAAAAGAACGCATCGGTTCTGGTATAAAATGATTATTATAAATTAAATTTTTTTGTATCATTATATTACAAATATGATTTGAACTTTCGTAGGTTGTAAATGGACTTTTAGACAATTAAGAAGATATTTTGAACAAGCTGGATATTACGATTGGTTTCTTTGGCAGAGGATAGCTTGTTTAGTTAGTTTAACAATACTAAGTCAAGCCGCGAGCATACCAAAATCTTCCAATTGTTTTGAATTCTTTGGATTTGATGTATTAATTGATAAAAATTTAAAACCATGGTTATTAGAGGTTAAAAGACATATATCTTACTCACTTAAAAAATGAAAATTATTGCTAATATTTGAAAAATAATTCAATAGGTGAATCTTAGCCCAGGTTTAAGTAATGATTGCGAAATTGATTCTGAAGTAAAGAAACCTTTGCTGCATGATTTATTCGATTTATTAGGTCTTCCAGTATGCAATACTGGACTTTCCCTTTTTACAATATGGTCAACAATTGATGATGAGGTTGAAATGTCTTCCAAGTATTGTACAAATCGAACAATGAAAAAAAAATCGAAAACTTATCGGGAAACTGATGGTTTTTTAAACATATGTACGGAACTTCGGCCTACTGTACGTATCTACAAAAGAATATTAGTAAATATTGAATTGCTAGCAAAAATATTAAGTTTTATACTCATTTTAATCATTAGCTCAAACATTCAACCATCAACAATTCTTCAAATTTGTGGTCTCTTTACACTCCCTTATTAGTGGATAAATACATTCCACGCGGTTTTCAGGGTAATAACCCACAAAACAACGATAAAACATCAATATGGGATAATGGTAAAGATTGGAGTAAACCATGTACAAGTGAAGGAGGATGGGTCCGCATTTATCCATTGATATCGATAAAACCTAAATATGCTATTGATTATGTATCTTTATCAGAAACTACAAGAAAGATAGAAAAAGAAATTAGAAATACAGTTATTTCTATACAAAAGTAATAATTTAGATAAAATTTTTTCAATTTATATAAAAATATAAAAATATATTTGATTAATCTTGCTTTTACAGATATTTGAAAGCTGCCAAAGAAGTGCACAAGAAAAATGAAAAATATAGAGATGAACAATATAATGCTATGTTACGAAAAATGTTAGAACTTAATACTGAAATTTGGCTGCCATCAAAGTGAACAAATATTCTCTATATTTTATTCATCTTTTAAGTAAATTTCAGCACAATGCTTTGACCAATTAAATTTTATAATACTACATTTAAGACACATTTTTAACACGTAAAAATGTTTTTCAATATTTTTAATAGCAAGATATTTTTTAAAATGTTATAATTGTGATAGAATTGTGATGTTAATGAAAATGTCATATATACTATATCGTGTTCTAAAATATCACATATAAATTATAGGATAAAGGTGCAGAATATTTATATTCACCAAGAAATTCTCGGTTTATTGAACGTTTTTTTTGCAAATGTACATTAATTCACTCCCTTTGCTGCTAACCTCTTGTCGCGCTCTTCGGCAATTGAAAGTTTAACACCTTTGTCTCTTGGTAAGCTAATGTATGGCTTTGTACCTTTGCCGATGATAAATACGTTGTTCAATCTAAACAAATAATTTATATTATATTATAACAATTAATCAATATAAACAATAATCAAAAATTTTTTAAAAATTTATTTTAAAAAAATCATGTTTCCTTAATGGGTAATACTGAAAAGTCTATGTAAGAACAATCAGTGACCAATATTAAAGAAGTTTATTTTGGCCATTTTTTGACTACAATAATTTTTATAATATATTATAGCTTCGATTATGGCCATCATAAATAAATTTTTTTTTCTTATAAAAATTAAAAATTAAAAATTAAAAATAAATATAATATAATATAATATAATATAATATAATATAATATAATATAATATAATATAATATAATATAATATAATATAATATAATATAATATATATATAATATATATATATATATATAATAAATAAAATGTAAATAAAAAATAAAAATGCAAAATACCTTGTAGCAAAAGTATGCCCTTGTGAATCTTTAATATGACAAATATCAAAAGATCCAGGATGACGTTCACGACTAACTACTGTACCTACACGTCCTAAATTTCTTCCACCAGTAATCATACAAAGATTACCTAAAAAAATTATTTAAATATAATTATTTATATAATTATTTTAAAAAATTATTTTTATATTTAGCATTATTTTAAAAAAATGCTTAAATACAATAAAAATAAAAATAAAATGATCAAAAAAATATTATACCTGAATCAAATCGAATAGAATCTAAAATTTTTCCTGTTGCTATATCTAAATGGATGGTATCATTAACTTTAATTACAGGATCTGGATAACGAATAGTTCTTCCATCATGTGTTACCAAAAATGGAATTCCTTTTGGACCAGTTTGAACACGTTTAACTTTACATAATTTATACTACAATAAAAATTAAAATAATCTTTTAACAAAAAAATTAATTTAATTGAATTATTGATTTATCTCTGATTTAATGCCATTATTTAAATACCTTTGCTTCTTCTGCAGTAATTCTATGAGTGGTAAATCTGCCTTTAACATCATAAATCAATCGGAAATATTCACCAGTCTTATTAATTGTAATGACATCTAAAAAAATTTTTAATTTATTTATATATATATATATAAATTTTAAATATATATATATATAAATGTTATATTTAATTTTTCATATATTTTATAAAAATATTTTTCTATTATTATTATAATTATATATAAACTGTGCACTTTTTGGGTAATACATAAAGAATATTTTATTCAATTTGTGACCAAAAAAGATATGATTTATTATTGGCTAATATTTAACTATAATTCATCATTTGAAAAGTATTATAGCTTCCATATAGCCTTATATATTTCTTAAGTATTTATATCATATTTCAAATTTATATAATATATCATTATAACTAAAAAAAAAAAGAAAGTATTTCATAACTTACCCATAAAACCTGCTGGATAATTCGCATCAGTTCTAACCTTACCATCAACTTTAATCAAACGTTGCATTACAATTTTTGTTACTTCAGAATTAGTTAATGCATATTTCAATCTATTGCGAAGAAAAATAACAAGAGGAAGAGATTCTCTTAATTTATGAGGTCCCGTAGATGGACGTGGAGCATATACACCTCCAAGTTTGTCTAACATCCATGCTTTAGGCGCGTTAAGACGTTTCAAGTGCTTCTTTGGTCCACGTGCCTAAAATCAATTTTCATTTATTAATTATTTCAAATAAAATATATAAAAATTAAAAGTTTTTAATATCAAAATATAACTCAATTTAATCTATTGTAACTTTATACGCGAGTATATGTAGATTATTATCACTGTATATTTTTATTTTTTATTTTTATTTAATATTATAATTATAAATTAAGTTATATTAAAAATATATTTTCTTAATAGATCATTAACAAATATTTATATAAAATATTAATCTATTTAAAAATACTTTTTTTTACACATATCTTAACCGTATTTACACATATTTAAACGAATTTAATAAATCATATAAAAATAAATATTCACTTTAATTTATTTAATTTATTCTTTACTTGGATATTAAGAAATATAATACAGCATGCAATCGATGTAAACAGATTTCATATTGACAACAAATATTCAGACTTACCATCTTGATTTTCTAAACGGAAAAGACACATGCACGCTATGATTCTATATATCAAAACTTTCCGCAACGCCACTGTAGCTAAAATGGCGGATTTGTATTATTTGAAAATTGATATTTTAATAAATGATTTACATTATTTTAAATTAATTTGAAAATTTTTATTTTTTTTTAAATTTTAGTTATATTTTATTTTATATATATATACATATATATTATATATTATATATTTAAATTACAAATCATAATTATATAGTAAATATAGTTTATATAATATTATAGTATTAAAATAATTGTTAATATTTTCTTATTTTAATATTTCTAATTTTAGACATTAATAATTTTTTAAATGGAAAATATAAAAGACATGTTAATACATAAATTTTTTAATAAATTTGTATATAAGAATGACAAATTACAATAATTATTTTAATATTTTTATACAAGAAATTTTTGTAATTTTTCATCATTTTAGATTAATTTTATTGTATTTCTTCAATAATATTATCTAATAAATTGGATGAGCCAATTCTAAATAAATCTTTACATAACCATTCCTCTCCTAATTCCATTTGAACTAACATCATCCATTCTAAAGCTTCTTGTGGAACTTTAATACCACCAGCAGGTTTTAAACCAATCTAAATAATATATAGATAAAATAAATAAATATATTTTAATGATAAATATATAAGAAATAAAAAAGTGTATTTCTTATTTTTTATTCAAATAAAGATTTATACCTTTTTTTGTGTAGATTCATAATAATCCTTAATTGCACGACACATAACAATTCCAACAGGCAAAGTAGCATTTATTGCTTCTTTTCCAGTGGATGTTTTAATAAAATCTGCACCAGCCATCATTGCTATCATAGATGCTTTATATACATTTTCCAAATTACCTAACTCTCCTGTAGCAAGTATGACTTTTAGACATTTGTTACCACAAGCAGTACGAAATAATTTCAATTCTTCATATAATTTTTGCCATTGGTGCATTAATACTAATGGTCTATTGATAACAATATCAATTTCATCAGCTCCTAATTCAACATCTAATTCTACCTCACGAAGTCGTGTTTCCAATAAATATTGTCCAGATGGAAATCCTCCACCCACTATTTGGATAACCATATATTATTATAATTAAAAATTATAATTAAAAATTGTAAAAATCTATAATATTAAATCTATATTTACCAGTAGCTCTAGAAATTTTATGGTCTTTATCAAGTTTTTCCAATGCAGTTATCGCATCCATAAGTCTCAGAGGATATACATATACAGATGCAGTATGTAAATTTGAGTCATTTGATAATTTAAGAGGGTGTACTGCCTGTAATTATAAAAATTAATTATAGAATTTTGATATTTTCAAAGATATATTAAATATTAAAGTTTTAACATGAAGTAGAATATTACTTTAACACATAAAGCTTCAATTTTTGCTGGTGTATCATCACTACCTAAAGTAGTTAAGTCTAAAAAACCTATTGCTTTTATCAACCAAGTAGTTTTAACATGTTTTTCCAATTTATAAACTCTAGAACGTATAGAATTAATTTTTTCATCTATTGCAGATTGGTCAAAATTCATTGTAGCTAAAACAAAAATATGTAAAATTTAAGAATATAAAATAATTAAAAATTTTTTAATTTTTATGTTTTACCATTTGTCAATTTTTGGATATTCATTGTGTTTGTTTTAAAATACTTAAAAATATTTGGGTTTATTTGAATGAAATAAAATGCGTAAAAATGAATGCGTAAGAAAAGTGCAATTACTTTAAATTTATGATTGATATCATTTAAATATTAATTTTAAAAATTGATAACACTGAATGACCTATAATTTGCGATTATTACTACAGCAAAAAATATGTTTCATGTATATGTACATTGGTTATATGTATATATTACTTTATCTTAAACCTTTTTCTTGTTATCCCCTCTTCAATCTTATGTTTTCCTTGATATTATAACTAAGTAAGTAAACATATATATACTCTACTTACTTTTATCATATGTTATAATTATATATATCCATTCTTATCAAAATATTTTAAGATTTAAATAAAATATAATTGGAAAAATAATTTTTATTATATATATATAAACAGCATTGTTTTAATTAAAGAATTGAGATTTTTAAAATAAAAAAAATATTTTTAAAAAATTTTAGAATTTTAAGAAATATAAAATTCTTTTAATAATGAAATAAAATTCTATTGATTGATTTTTATTTTATAACAATTAATGAATATTCGATATATTATTTAAATAATATCCTATTGAAATATTTCACAATATATTTCCTATGTTTAATATGTGTAATTGTTTATTATTGCATAATATTTATAGTTATATATAAAATAAATAAATATATATAATAGAAATAAATATATTATAAATATATTTATAATATTTTAAAATATTTCGTTTAAAATACCTTTAATATATCATAGTTGAATATTACATTTTTTCTAAGAAATATTGTACTTTTTTGAAAAAATCTATTATCAATAATTTTGCAATTTAGTTATCTGAATAATAATATTATCAAACAGACTAATAAAATTTTTATTAATTTAAATTATTATTATCTATAATATTGCCATTGTTCCCAATACTGTGTAGTTTGCATTTCCGAAAGTCGTGATATAGTACGATCAAAAGCAAAAAGTTCTTCTTCTCCCGTAAAAAGATTAGATTTGTAGTCATCCTATTAAAAATAAAAAATTATAAATTTACTTCTCAATCAATAAAAATAATAATTTTCACTGTATAACTTACTGAACCACGTGATATTTTTAAGTCATCCATTAACATTCGTTTTTCATCTGTATATTCATTATTTCCTTCTGGTACAAAAAGTTTTGTATGTGGTACAGCTGCAGATATTACAACTCGTACCTAAAAAAAAATTTTATTTATTTTTTTATATATAATTATTTACAATTTAAATTAATAAATATGTAAAATAAATAAAGATAATATATATTTACCTTATTATCATATAATGTATCAATCAATGTAATAAATCTTCTAGTTTGTGATTTAAGACGAAAATTTAATTGTGGTACATCTCTTATAATGACTGTGTGAAATGCCTGACTTAATTCTAAATAATCACTAGCACCAAGTGGCTATAAACAAAATATGATATAGTAAAGTATCCTAATTTAATAAAAGATATTTAAAACAACCTACTCTATCACATAACTCTTCAAAAGTTGAATCCAATATTTGTCCACAAGTTTTTTTGAAGGTAACATTACGACCTCTTATAGAAATTGTTCGAGATCTCACAACATCATTTTCTTTTGACGACAGATATTTAAATACTTTATCCACATCACTTATTGCATCTTTTCCTTTTCTATAATAATTAGTTTTTTTTACAGAAAAATATTTTACTATATTTTATCTATGTATAAATATACATACATGAAATAAATTTTTTCATTTCCAAGACCTGTTTTCAATCTATAATCTATACCTGAATCTAGAGAATTTATAATACAATAATTTTTTAAGACTTGTATAAATGGAATAAAATTTCCTCTTTGTAATCCATTTTTGTATAAATCATCGGGTGCCCTATTACTAGTTGCAATAACTATTACACCATTATTAAAAAGTTCAGTAAATAATCGTTTTAATATCATAGCATCCGCAATATCAGTTACCTATAATATATAATATATAATATATATAGTATATAAGTTTTTATTAATATGATATTATATTATTATAATATTATTATATTAATATAATATTATTATTATATATTATTGAATAATATGTTTTTAAATTAAACCTGAAATTCATCAAAACAAAGTAACCAAGCTTCTTCAGTAATACTTCTTGCAACTGGTGGTATTGGATCAAATGGTTGAAGTTTTGTACTACTAACATCTCGTACAATATTTTTCTTTACTTCATGTACTTTATTATGTACATCCAACATAAAAGAATGAAAATGAACTCTTTTCTTATTTTTGATCTAAAAAAATATTTTTTAAGATAATTATTAATTTTTTTTTTAATTAAAAGTTTATTTTGCTATGTACTGCATATGGAAAGCCATATATAATTACAATTAAAAAAGTTTTTTTTTTATATTATTACCTTCACTAGATAAAGTAAATCCTTGTTGCAGTAATTATTTTATTATATGAATTATGCTGAAAAATATTATGAATTATCATATAGATAATCAATAATACACATTTTGGCTCCCCATGTGCAATAATTATATAAATTATTAACTGAGATACCTGGCAGCATTGGTAGAAAAGATCCATTAACATTGTTTTACCTCCACCAACTGCTCCATAAAGATATAGACCTTTTGGTGGTTGTTTTCTTTTTCTACCTAGCCATTTATCTAATAAACTGAATTCTTCAGGTTTATATCCATTTATTTCTTCATAAATATTTTGCAATGTCTTAGTAACTTTCATTTGGTGCTCATCTTTCATTAGTTCTCCTTTTGCTATTTTATTTTTTAAAACAGCAATTGGGCCTTTTTCAATCAATGAAATATCATGAACATATCCATAACTTTGAATAAAATCATAAGATTGAAATCGTGATAACAAATTCATAAAATAATTTCGATTATAAAATTTTTTTGACAAATAAGTTATCATCATCATAGAAAAAGATATCCTAAAAAAAAAAGCTCGTGATTCGTTACTTATATATATTACTTACATATATTATTAATTATCAAATTAAACAAATATTTATTCTTACAAATAATAGCCTGATAAATATACATTTAATTTAAAAAATTAATAAAGAAAAGTTTTTCTGTATATATGATTAAAGAAATTCACATATTCAATCGAATTTATGATTTAACAGATAATGATGTACGTGTGTTAACCTTTATATTACGTATAAAAATACATTACATACATCTACCTCAAAATAGAATACTTAGACTAGAAAATTTAAAGGGTAGTTGTGAAACATGATATTAATAAATATACAAAATTTAATAATTGTTAAAAATGTTCAATCAAATATGTATGCATTTATTTCCGTTTATATAATTTATTAAAATTTATATTCTTTTTTATGATATTTTAATTCTATTAGAAGAAAATGCATAATATGAAATTTAGTTTGAAAAATTATCTATCGCGCGTTAAGTTATGACGTAATCAAAAAAGTATAGAAACATCAAATATATTTTATTAATGATCGTTCATAGTTCGAGAGCTATATAAAGCTTTATTCATAAATTAAAACTATCAAATAAAAATAGGAAAAAATAAAATATTTATATATCATTTATCTTCCAATAATGTAACAAAATTAGTATTTATTTCTTATATATATATATATATATATTTAAATATTTTAAAATGTGTTTATATATATATATATATATATAAACATATTTTAAAATATTTAATTCAAAATGTCTAATTTTATTATATTTTATATAAATATTTTAATTATTTAAAATAATTATTTATGTTTTATTTTCATTTTGCTACAAATATGTATTTCATAAAAATTAGGAATGTAATGTTAAAATTTAGGAATAAAAATTCTATTAATGCTAAAATAAAAAAATTTTCTGAGTTTTTAATCATTATGATAAATTTTTGAACTGTATGGGATATATATTGGCAGTCTTCGTTTATCAGGACTGATTCCTTCCTTTGGAGAATAATAACGTCTTTCAATAACTTTATCAAAAAACCTACTTAATTTAACAGAGGAGCTAGAACCAGCAGCAAGTGATCTCACTTGATGACAATCCTGCAATAATATCAACTTGAAAATAATAAATTTTTTATTAATTAATAAAAAAATCTTATAAAATTATATTATTAATTATAATTATAAAAAAAAATAATATACCAAAAATATTTCATCAGCACCACATTCTTCTGCAATAGTTGAAGAACGTCTTTGTACATTTGTTCTAACTTCAGCAACTAGATCTAATTTTGTACCAATAACTAAAATTGGTATCTAGAAAGATAATTTTATTCACACAAAATTATATAAAAAAAATTGATGTATCAATATATTATCTTATTATGTAGAATAATATTTAGAATATATATTATATTCTTATAATATAATATAATATTATTATAATATAATATAATATAATATTTAGAATATATATTACTTGTGTAGATCCTACAAATTTTTCAGGATCAAAATCATCAAATGATTTTGATTTCATATAATTGCTATCTTTACTCAAAACTTCTTCAAGCCATTTTTGAAGATTTTGCTGTGATTTTCTGTTTGTTAAATCATGAACTAATATGATACCTATGTGATAAATAATTATTAAATTTATATTATTATTAAATTTTTTATATTATATTCCTAATATTATATATTTTATATATATACCATTTGTAGGATTATAAAATACAGATCTTGTATTTTTATGATTTTGACTTCCTCCAATATCCCATAATTCAATAAAATATCTTCGTTGATTAGGAGTTCCTTCTTTATATTCATGTAATTTAACTTCTACTGAGCAACCTATAGTCCATGAAGGATTACTAATAGGTTGTTGTTGACATATTAAATGTGTTAATGATGTTTTTCCCACACCTGAAAATAAAAAAGAAAAAATATCTAATATTATTTAAATATATAATTTAAATAAAATTATATATGTAGATGTGGAAAGCAATAAATAACCTATAAATAATATCATAAAATATAACGCATAAATTCTAGTTTAAAAAAATTAAAAAATTAAATATGTTTATATATAAACAAAATATTTTAAATATAAAATTCATTTTGTTTACATTTTAATTTTATTTTAATAAAATAATAGATAATTACATACAAATACTATAACAAGATAATGGCAATAACTAAGAGTATTATAGAATTGCTTTATATATATATTCTTACCAGAATCGCCAAGGACAATAATCTTAACTTTATCAATTGCAGCCATTAATAATTTTCATTAAATCATATGAAAATGTATATCTTTTTATTTTTATATTGCTGTTTGACAAGCTGTCATTTGATAATTTTATATTATGAATACATAACCTAAAAGCAATTATACTTATAAACAAGCGTCCATTGGAATGGTATTTTGTCTTTTTTTAATCAAATAATAAAATAATGTATTTTATTTTATTATTTTCTTATTTCTCTTGAGAGAACGTATAATTATTATTGTGATATATATTTTAATTTATTTATACTGATATCTATTTGACATATTTGATGATAAATAATACTACTTATGCTACTTTAAAGGTTAGTATTTTGTTACAATAACAAATTAAATTTAAAATAATATATTTTATAATATTATTCAAATATAATTATAAAATCATTTATAAAATATATTTTAATATAAATTAATTTAATATAAATTAAATAAATATAAATTATATGGAGGATAATATATAAAAATTTTTACAGTAACTCTTGTATTTTATTATATCTATTAACAAAATGAGTGGTGAAGAAAGACTTGTTACAGAAGTTCCCAGTAGTTTAAAACAATTAGCACGTTTGGTAGTACGTGGATTTTATACAATAGAAGATGCATTGATTGTTGATATGTTAGTTAGAAATCCATGTAAGTACAAAATATATAAATTATATCATCATATATTTAAGATTATATTATTCTATTTTATTAGGTATGAAAGAAGATGACATTTGTGAGCTTTTAAAATTTGAACGTAAAATGTTAAGAGCTAGAATATCTACATTACGTAATGATAAATTCATACAAGTTAGATTAAAAATGGAAACTGGATCAGATGGAAAAGCACAAAAAGTTAATTATTATTTTATTAATTATAAGACTTTTGTAAATGTAGTAAAATATAAATTAGATTTAATGAGAAAGAGAATGGAAACTGAAGAAAGAGATGCAACTAGTAGGGCTAGTTTTAAATGTACAAATTGTTTGAAAACTTTTACTGATCTTGAGGTATGTACATATTTATAAATTATTATTTATAAATTATATAGCAATGTTTCTCAAAGTAGTTTAGTTTTAAAAATAAAAAAAATAAAAAAAGATAAAATTTGAAAATTATTTATGAAATAACTTTATAAACATATTAGTAATAAAATACTTATTATCATGATATAATATAGGCAGATCAATTATTTGATATGACTACTGGTGAATTTAGATGTACATATTGTCGTGAAGTAGTGGAAGAAGATCAGTCTGCTCTTCCTAAAAAAGATTCAAGACTATTATTAGCTAAATTTAATGAACAATTAGAACCTTTATACATTTTATTAAGGGAAGTAGAAGGTATTAAATTAGCTCCTGAAATATTGGAACCTGAACCAGTTGATATAAATACTATTAAAGGGTATGGATTTTTAAAAAAACAATTAATAATATGATCTTATATATTATTTATATTTCTTCTTTTTAGTATTGATACAAGAAAACCAAGCAGTCTAAGAGCACCTGGTGAGCAATGGTCTGGTGAAGCTACCAGATCATCAGGTTTTATGGTAGAAGACACAAGAGTAGATGTTACAATTGGTGATGATTCTATTGATGATAATGTGACAAATAGAAGAAAGGAAAGACCAATTTGGATGATGGAAAGTACTGTTATTAATACTGATTCACAGGTAAATTTATTTTCAGTATTGATATCTTATTAATAGTAATGATTACTATAATATATTAATAATATAATATTTCATATTAATCTATTTTTTTAGCCTGATGGAGTTAATACCCAAGAAAATATTTTGGATAAAGCTGCAGCTACTGCTACTAATACAACATCAACCAATAATAAACAAGGTGAAGATATAATGTCTGTATTATTGGCTCATGAGAAAAAAGGAGGAACAAATTCAGCAGCTGCTATAAAATCTGTATTACCTCAAGAATCTAGTGATAGTAGTGATAATGAAGAAATTACTGAAATGCAAGCTATTGATACAGGTATGATTTTTATAAAATATTAAAATTGTAAAATTATTATTATAATGATACTATTATTTTAAAAAATATGAACATTTTTTAAAATTTTTTAGGAGAGGTAGAAACCATGGATTCTGAAGATGAAGATCTTGTACCAACTGTAACTGTTGCAGGAAAGACAGTTGCTATTGCAGATGTAAATGATGCATTAATAGCAGAAATGACTCCTGTAGAAAAAGAAGCATATATTCAAGCATATCAAGAATATTATTCGCATATGTACGATTAATTATATACGATAATGCAGTCAGCATTGATATGAAATATTTAACAATGCCTTGAAAGACTGAGCGATTATTAAAATTCTTGTAATATTTTGTATAGTCATAAAATAAATAATTTTCTGGGTTTGGTAAAAAAAAATTTATTTTTTTTTTCTTTTTAATATTATATTCATACTATAATATATATTTGTACTATAATGAAATATAAAGCAAAAGAACTAAAAAATTAACATTTTGAAATTTTTATTCTTCTTCTAATATACAGATATAATTCAACAATGTCATCAATTTTGTAATAAATGAACATTTACAGACACGTTATAATCACTATAAATCAAAGTTAATAGCATACATGTCACTTCTGGTAACGCGGAAAGATTTTTATCTTAGCCAAATATAAATTATTTATTAAGCTTACTTAAAATCATTTTTTTTTTGTCTTCATGTGAATTTCTAACCGACCACCACCATCGGGTAGAAATTATAAGACGATATATTTTTTTTAATATAATACTTTTCGCTTTTTTTTGTATTTTTTTATTATGTTTTTTTATATTAGTATATTAATATTCAGCTCCATATATCAAAATAATCGTATATGGATATAATTTTTTTTATTCTTCGTATATCTTTTATAGCTTTTTCAGTTCTTAGACATAACTCACATCAAAAGAATCCTAGAATCAACAAATTCTACATTATGCAATATATTATATTATTTATTATTAAATTTGATATAATTTTATTGTATTTTGATTTAAATTTAATACAAAGAATTATGAATTTAAGATTCTTTCAAATAAGTATTTGTCTTTTTACAAATATTTTTACTCTGGTTCATTTAAACGCAAACGAGCAAAATCTTCGAATACGATATTATCATCATCATCATTTGAATAACAAGAATTCTCATAACGTGTTCTCTCAATGCTTTTATTCTTCTTTAAAATAGTCTTTTCTTTTTCTACAGCTCCTGTGATAATAAAATAATACTTGAATTATATATTTATATAATATAAATTTAAAAATAAATTATTGATATAATATAATTGTATATTATATTTAAAATATTTAATATATTGGATATTAAAATTTATTTACCAGGAGCTGGATGCATTAATTTAAATGGAACATCTGTAACTAATTCACCTCCCAAAGTGCCACAATTCAATTTTACTCGTACAGAATAAGAAATGACAATACCCATAGCATCATTAGGAGCTTTACCCTCTGCGACTAAAGTTGAAGATGCAAGATTCACATCATCATCCTATATATTAAACAACAAAATGTTTAAAAATTTACATATTAATTAATTAAAAAATTAAAATTCATGAAAATTGAAAGCAAAAAAAAATTTATTTTTAATAAAAGTTTTATTTATTATACCTTTAAATGACCATCAAGAGCAATTCCATAACGATCCTTATTGCTACTGGCCAATGGAACAAGATAAAATTGTTTTGTAAATGATGCCCCAGGTGTGATTGGACAACCTTCACGTGTCTCTAAACTGGCCACGTGTCGAGAAAATTGAGCATTAACCATTGTTACCTCGCAATGTTGTACCACAAAAAGCTAAAATATATAAAAATTAGATATTAAATATAATTCCATTATATTATATATAATATATTTATATTATATTATTTTATATTATTATATTATATATAACATACATATATATTATAAAATATATATATATAAATAAATAAATACCTTAATATTTTTGACTGCCTTTCGAGAGTTGTTAGTAACCATAACATTAGCAGCTACTTTTTCTCCATGATAATAGATCTCCTTATCAAGTGTAACTTCTAGATTTAATTTACCTTGAGAGAAAGTAAATCCTTTTGAAACTAAAGAGGTAGGCAATTTACGTCCTCTTACAAGTGGTGCATATTGTAATTTCTTTATAGCTAATGCAACAGATGATCTTTTATGTCCCTATAAATTATAAATTAAATATAGATATATATGTGTATATATTTAAATTATGTATTTATATTAATATAAGTTAATATTTATTAACTATGATTAAAACATTACTTTATCTTCTTCATGTTCACCAACATAAATTTTTACAGTATATTCTACTCCTAATGGTTTTCCTTGATCATCACCAGGTTGTAATGTAACAGAACTAGGACAACTTTGTGGAAAATGAAATAAGAATGGATATGCATTTGCTCCAAGACGTTTTAAAAGATGTTCTTGAACAGGTGTTATATCTTGTTTTTCCTTTTTCATTGGAACTATTTGTTCTCGACATAAGACAAGTTCTTTGCTAAATTTGATACCCATAACTTCATCTTCTTCGCGTCCATAGCGAAAAGTTGTTGTTACCTAATATTAGAATAAAATACAAAATGTTCATATATAAATATATGATTTTCAATATTGAAGTAAATTATTTTATTTCTTACTTGTCCATAAACTTTTCGACCTTGAAGATAATCATTTTCAACAACAATAATGCCATCAATAGGATCTATGCTATCCAAATGATCAATGAAATCTCTTCTACCAAGGTAAACTGTGACTTTTCCTATAGTTAATGAAAAATCAATTTTAAAAATAAAGAATCCCAAAAAATATTACTAATTCTTTCAATATTTTTTATAAAAAAAAATAAATTATTATTATATATTTTTATTTTAATAACTTACCATTTGGAGTTGTTTTCTTGAATACCTTGATGGCTACAACAAAAGCCAAAAACAACAGAGGAAACATTTGGCAATCTTTTCTTCAATTAAATGAATTAGCAAAAGTTTGTTTCGCGCCCAGAAGTGACAGTTTCTTAGCAAGAACAGGGAACTTCATATAGTCCTAGAGGGGCTTCTTTTGTTGAAGCCATATACATTACTAATAGCATTAGTTTATTACACAAGTTAGTTAATGAGATTAGAATACATATGTAAGAAATTTATTACGCATATGGATCTGATTCAGTAGTTCATGCATCTTCAACTAGGAAAGAAGTAAGATTCAGTGATCATTTTTTTCATAATATATTAAATAGTAAACAAATTTGTAAACATTTATACAAGAAAATATTATGTGCAATTGCATATTCAGTTGATAAAAAAAGATTAAAATAAAGAAATACATGTGATCAGTCTTATATTTATATTTATTTCAATATTAAGTGCTTACATAATATAATATGAAGGTATTTTAATTGAAATTAAATCCCCTAAATCCATAAGGAATCACATCATTATATATTTTCACAAAATTTTTCATAATGATAAACAATAATTTTCTCAAGTAGATATTACTTGTTGTTGACAATTAGAACCATTTATATTCTTTTTTTTTCACATTCAGCAATCAGTAAACACTTGATATATCATGTATATTATTGTATGAACACTAATATTGTGTTCCCAAATTTTTCTGGTAACTGAAAGACATCTTCTTTTTGGGAATGAACAAGGCAATTCATAATGCCCTTTTTTTAATATTTAATTTTATAAATGAGAAAATGAAATATTTCATTAAACAAATAAAAATAAATTGTAACATGCTCTCTGAAATTCTTTTAAATAAATATTTCTTGGTGCCTAATGCTTTTTTTTTTAATATAAGTGAATTTCATGCTACAACAAAAAGAAAAAAAATGCATGCAGTAACTAAGAAAGCTTCATTCATATTGCTTTCTTATATATTTGAATTTCTTTTAAATACAAAAAAGCAAGAAAACAAGATATAATATAAAAAATGAGCGATTATAAACTAAAAATTTAAAAATCGGTAACAATAGAAATATAGTAGAATTATCGCGATAAACACATTTAATAATAGGCACAATTAAGGTATATTATATATTCGTTACTTAGTGTTTTATTATGCTAAAGAAAGTCGTTGCTACCAGGGAACAGAAATATTTGCGAAATTTTATGAAATCTTTATTTCAAATATTCATTTTGACAATATATTCGTACAATGCTACATACTATACCTTATCTTGAATTCTTTACAAATTTTTATATTTGTAATTTTAACGAGAAAATTTTTACTAAAATAGAAGATTAATACATAATAAAAACTCAACAAAATTTAATCACAATAAATTAATAATTCGTTCAAGATTGTTTTCAGGATTTTTTTTTTTTTTTGAGATTTCAAATATTTTTTGATTTTAGAAAGAAATAAAATTGATTCTTGATATCTATTTAAAATATTGATAATTTAGTTCTATAAGTTATGTACGTTATTTAAGTTCGAACACATCCATTTTAGGGGGAATGTTGCTTACATTGAAAATTTACACATGCAATAAAGCACACATATCAAAAAAATATTTCATATTGCAATCATTAAAATAAAATTTTCTAAATACGTAATGTATATTATAAATTTGAAACTATCTAGTTTGAAACAATAATAAAATACATTAAAGTTCAACGTGAAAACAACTTTCCCCATGGTTTATAATTTCTCTTCATATGCACAGTACTTTTTGCCAAATATTTCAATGTACATTGTTTTACGTTTGCAATACGAGAGTATTCGCATATGATTGAGCAATATCTAATACATGTATCATTAAATTAATAAGGAATTATTTGTATTATTATCATTTCTTTACATTTTCTGGTAAAATGTACAAGAAATGAACATTTATCTATTTTTAATCAATTATGTGATATTACAGAACCCTGTGCAAGTCAAGCTCTTGGCTTCAAGCATAATCATGCACTGTGTATAACTCCTACATGTACTTGTTTGTACATAACTAGAATCTCGGTACAGTTCCCTGATACCAGCGCATTTCTAATATCGGCCAGTACAAATATTGTTAGTTTCAATAGTATACACTGTAGATTTTTGTAGTACGATTGCTGTTTGCTGCAAACCTACTAAACTTACATGACTAATTTTTTTTCTTTTTTATGCTTTTTTTTGTTTTTACCAAACACATTTTTTTCAATGTAAGTCGTAGTATGAATTTTTTAAAGAAGTTTTTGAACGAAGTGGTGCTGCATACCACAATTTAAATTTCAAGCAAAATTTGTCTCACACAGTAGAAATCTATAATAATAAAGAAATAAAAAATTAGTAAAAAATTTTTTATTATATTTGTTAGAAAAATAAATATATTTTATACAATTATTTTATATTATATATCTCACCTATATTCTTCACAGAAACATGTCCTTATAAATAAGAATCTTGTTTTAGGATAGATCTGAAAAATAATTTATTTATAAATAAAAAGAATATTTTCATGTATTAACAAATTAATTATTATTATTATCATGTATTAACTTCACTTACAACTTGGCGCAGCTGCAGATTCAAATCTCTTTTGTATCTGGTCATAGGTAAATTTAACAAAAGCATCATATTGCTCAGAGAGCTTCATGTTTAAAATCTGATCATATTCTTCTCGAATCTGTGTCTCTTGTTCTTTAAGCATTCGTTCACAAATCAAACCCACCTATAAAATTAAATATTTAATATAATTTTATAATTTTTTTTAAATATTTATCTTTGTTTAAATATAAATTAATTACAATTATAAACTATAAATTACCTGTCTAAATGTAAATAAAGGTTTTTCCTTTCCACTAGGATTATAACTACATGAATTTGAACCACAAGCAGATGGACTTGAAGGACTGGCAGGACCTTCCATATCTGAAGAATCACCACTATTATTTTGAGGACTAAAATGCAATTGTTTGCGTCGATGCAATCTCCGAATTTCTTCTCTTATATTAGCAGCCATCTTTTCTATATATAAAAAAAATTAATTTCATTGTATTTCTTGAACACATTAAATTTTTTATATTATTCTAAATAGTTTAAATTAGTTTAAATTAATTTTTAATTAATTTTTAATTATTATATTATAATATAATATAATATAATATAATATTTTTAATTATATATATTATAATTTCTTTTAATTATAAATATTTATAAAAAAATGCTAAATCTAAATTCTAAAATTTATAACAATAATTATTAGATAGCAAATTATAATCACTAAATGAATAAAGCATTTAAAAAATTTAAAAGCATAATAAATTTAAATATAATTTTTTAATTTTTTTTATTTTAAAAATTGATTTGTAATATTATGAAATCAAACAATTTTTAAAAACATAAATGTTTATAAATAAAAAGAAAAAGAGATTTAATTCTTTATGTCCGTTACTACATTACCATATGATTTACGCATCTTCCCCTACCTAAACGCCGCATCTTCCCTCCCCCTTTTAAACGTCGTGAATTCAAGTTTTAAATCACTAAAACGATTTAATCATGCTTTCCCTGTCATATCATGATGAAAAGGAAAAAAATAAAAAAAGAAAAATAAAAATGGCCGTAACGTATAATAATTACCAGGCGTCAGTTTATGGGTTACTTCGCCAAAAGGCGAAGGATTCTGTGGCCTGGAATTAGCTTGAGTTGATGTACCGGGGGAGACACACATTGGTACACATCTTCTTCGTTTACTAGGACGACCATGACTATGTACCGGGTCGAACTCCAAAGATCTCTTTAGAGTGGCGCAGGCCATTTCTCTCTTTTACCGTTTTATTCACAACTGACACTTAGATTATGGGCTTAGCCCGCGAGCTACGATGATTATGCCGAAAAATACAGCAAAACCACCGTATACGCGCACTGCCTAAGTAGTTTCTTTAACTGCACTCTAATTCTTCTATCTTCCTTCGAGTCGATCCCCTCGGATTTCTTCGTATTCTGACTAGGCTGCACCAAAACAAACACTGCGGTAAAACAATATGGCTGGCAACCACGGTTTGTCGGCTAGGAACGACCACGGAACGAATGTCTCAACTATCAAAGCACCATCTTTTCACTACTTGCATTCCGAAATGTATACGTCGCAGACTCAACTAACCCAGGACTCTTCGTTTCTGATTGGTCAATATATTGTATAGTGGCGTCGCTTTGCATTTCCTACTTTTGATATATTTTAATTGAAATTCAAGAATCAAAAATTCGAATATTAAAATTTAAATTGTTTTTAAATTTATTATATTTGCATATCTTTTTTTATAAATCAATAGTGTAAAATTAATTGATATTTTTAAAAAAATTATTTTCTTTAGAAATGAGAAATTCTTTTTAAATTAATAATATATAATTTTTATATTTTTAAACAAAAAATACTTGAAAATTATGACAATATAATGAAATTTTTTATATTTAATTATAAACTTTAATTGCATAAATTTTAAACTTTAATTTTATTAAATATTATCCATATAAAAAAATATATTTTAAATTGAAAATTGTAATTTCTTAAGAATATGTATTCTTTGTTAAGCTTTGCTATGAACATTAATTTGTATATCAATAATTATTTGACAGTTTCAAATAATTTGCTAAAAACAGATTATAGAATTTTAAATATTTTCTTATATATTATTGATGATAAAGAAATAAGTATACGTAATACGTAATTATGCGTTGATAATAGATAATTCTATAGATTTGCATAATAATTTGAATTTTCATTTAAAAGTAGTTTCATAAAGCATGCGCATGACTTCTATCCCTCTCTATTCGCTTTGAGGAATTTCAAGCAGTGTCAAGAAGAATCTTTCGCCATTCTATATTTACGATTTTTACAGGATTAATATATATTTTACCTATTTTTTTCGTGGCCCGTCCAAAAAAGCGACGAATAATGACAACAGTGAGTCCTGTGGTAATAGCAGCTACAGCCAGACATACAGCAACAGTAAGTGGAAAATCTCTCAAAGATATCTCTTTTTTGGTTATGATTGATGCAAAGTGATTTTAATTAACCATAAGTTAATTATTCTTGATATAATTTTATCATATAAATATTAAATATATATACCATATTATTATAATTTGTATTTCTAATTTATATTTAATTTATATATTTTTTTTTAAATTAAAATGTTACATTAAAGATAATTTTCAAAAACTTAATAATTTAAAACAGTTTTATTTATTTAATGTGCATAAAATTTGAAAAAATAGAAGAAACTAATAGTATAATATAATATATATATATAATATATTTAAATAATTATATTATTTAATTATATATTTCTACATAATATTAACTTTTATTTCAGCTTATATTTTTCCATGGATTGGGTGATACAGGGTGAGTAATAATATATGTAATTAAATAATATTAATATAATCTTTTATAATTTTTATTTATTTATTTTATAGTCATGGTTGGGCTAGTTCTATGGGAGCAGTAAGATCTCCTCATATTAAAGTTATTTGTCCAACTGCGTATGTATAATTAAAGTAAAAATAATATATTATAAATAACAAAACTTCAATAATTTTATTTAAGTAAATTATATCATTTAGTTTTATCATTTTAGGTCTACAATGCCAGTAACATTAAATGCAGGATTTAGAATGCCTTCTTGGTAAATAAGTTACATATGCAAATTATAATGCAAATTGACAATAATTTTATTAATTACATGTGTAATGAATTTAGGTTTGATTTACGATCTTTGGAACCAAGTGGTCCTGAAGATGAAGAAGGTATTCGTAGAGCTGCAGAAATGGTACATTCTTTAATTGCAGAAGAAGTTGCAGCAGGAATACCTACAAAACGTATTGTTCTTGGAGGTTTTAGTCAGGGTGGTGCTCTTGCTATATATAGTGCTCTTACATTTCCAGAACCTTTAGCTGGTATTATAGCTTTATCAGCTTGGCTTCCTTTACATCAAAAATTTCCAGTTGTATGTATTTTTATATACATTTTTATATTACATTAAAATGAAGTATATAATATTTTTTAATAACATGTATTATAGGAAGCAATAGGAAATAAAAATACTCCATTGCTTCAATGTCATGGTGATTGTGATCCAATAGTGCCATATAGATGGGGTCAATTGACTGCATCAGTTCTTAAACAATTTATGACACAAACAGAATTCAAAACATATAGAGGAATGATGCATGCATCTTGTGATGAGGTAGAGAATTTTTTAATATAAAAAAATTTTTTTCATTTTTTTTCTTGTTTTATAAAATAGTACTAATCATTATATAAATTAATATATTTGATTGTACTTATTACTTTCACAGGAAATGCGTGATATGAAGAAATTCATTGAAAAAGTTTTGAAGCCGTAATAGTTTTATTAAATATATCAATATTTTAAAATCTTATTACTTTATTTGTTCTTTATTAAGAATTAATTACTTCCAACTTCACTGCTACTTAATTCTAATGCTTGGTGAAAGAATAAAGACAGTAGTAGGTGAAAATGTTTCTAATCTTAAAAAAAAGCAAAATATCAATTATCATTTTTGTAAATTATATTTGAATGAATTATTTCTGTGTTTTAAAATACCAAAGTTACTATTATAATATTTTTAATTTTTAATATGAATTATTTTCAATTTTTACAATATGAATTATAAGGTTCTTACACCTAATTTTAAAAGCTTAAATATTATACATGAAAGATAAATTAAGAAGCAAATTATCTTAAATGCATTTTTTTTTTATAGAATTGTAGCTTATTTGGTTTTATTTGTATTATGCATTTCATATAAAAGCAAGTAAATTTTAAATTTAAATTTTTATTTTTTTGATAGAAAATAATTATTATCTATTTCCAAATAAATCTTCCTCTTTCTAATGAATAGTTTTTGCCTATTTAATTTTATTTTAAAAAAATTATTCATTCTTTACATATTTAATTGTAAAAGCAATCAAATATTCTTTATAATATTTACTTTAATAATATTTAATTTTATAATGAGTTATATATAATGTACAGATATTGTTATTTATGACATAATAATTTTTCTAGAAATATCTAGGGACAGTAATATGGCTATGTAATCTGTGATTACAAAATATAATTTTAAAATTAATAAACTTGATAATTTTTAGTAGACAGCATATTACAAATGCTAGTCATGAAGAAATATGTATTTCAGATATGATTATAGATATAGTGCAAAAGTTTTACTTTTACAGTACTTATATTTTAGGTTTAATTGAATAGTACTATTAAGAATAAAAAAAATTGCGATTATCATCAGTTACAAAACAAGCAAGTATTTAACTGAGAAGCAATACTAGTTATATAACAAAAAGTAAGAATGATTATTTGTAATATTTACTTATGTTATTAAAATAGAACAAATCATATTTATTAAATTGCTACTTTTTTTCTTTAATATTTACTTAAAAATATATAATAAAAATATTGTAAATATATAATGAATTTTTTTATGTTATATTATATCTTTTATCTGTTTGATATAATTTTTCCAATGCAACTATGGTGTATACATTACTAATACAATAAAATTTTTGATTTATGTAAATTATGTGCAAAAGATATGTTCCACTAACATTTAATTAAATAATTTATTATTCTGTGAAATATATTGAAACACTAATAATATTCAATATTTTTGAACTTATATTTTTATATTTAATTTATTTTGGAAATTATTATTATTATTTGATTAAATAAATTTTGATTTATTCGAAAAAAAGAAAAAATAAAATATATTTAAAATCAGTTTAGGAAATATATTATATTTAATATTATTTATCTATTAAATGATGATGTATTTTTAAATATATGATATCAAATAATTACATTATTATAATTTAATTGCATTTAATAATATAATTTTTTATTAAATCGTATCAATAGTTTTAGAAAAATTTACGATTCTATTAAATATATTTATGTAACTTGTATAAATATTTTTTAATATTAAAATTAATCATATAATATTGATCATATAATTTATTTTTTATTAAAGGATATCCATATTAAATATTATTTTATATAATGGAATATGAAAATTCATCTAATATTATATATTGCGTTGAAAATGGTTTGTTGAAAATTACATTAAATAGACCAGAAAAGAAAAATGCTATTACCAATTCTGTACGTAATTTTTAAAATTATTATTGATATTTAACTAATTTTATTTTTATATTCTATTTAAGAATATAAAAATTATATTATAGAATTAAAATAACCTCATTTACATGTCATAAGATTTAGATTTTAATTTTTAAAACATCAAAATTAAATATAATTTTTATAATAATTCGATCAATTATTCCATAATAATAAAATAATAACAATATAAAAAATTCGTCCGAAATATTAATAATAAATTTTTTGTTAGATGTATAAAAATTTATTAGAAATCTTTCATAAATCTATTCAAGATAATACTATACATACAGTATGTTTGACTGGTACTGGAAATTTTTTTAGTAGTGGAAATGATTTTATTTCTTTATTAACAAATCAAGATGTTTTTGATATCAAAAGTATCATTAATGATTTTAAGTAAGTATTATAAATATTATATAATCTTATAAAAAATTTTTAATACTTAAAACTTTTGTTATAAATTTCAATATTATTAAAAAAATATTATTATTAAAAAAAATATATATTATTATTAAATTTCAATAATAATTTTACAGAAAATTTATAGATATGTTAATTACATATCCCAAACTTTTAATAGCTGTTGTAAATGGTCCTGCAATTGGAATTGCGGTGACAATACTTCCATTATTTGATATAACATATGCATCAGATACAGTAATTTTGTAGTTCTTATATCTTGACTTTCATATATATATATATATATTTTAAATTATAATTATTCTACAATATTTTTTATGTTATAGGCATACTTTCAAACTCCATTTACAAGCTTGGGCCTTATTGCAGAAGGATGTTCTACATATACATTTCCTAAAATATTTGGAAAATCTAAAGTACAAATTTTAAAGTTATATAAGTATAATAAGTTTTATTAATTGTGATTAATTTAAAATCTTTAAAAAATTTTAGGCTAGTGATATGTTATATTTAGGATATAAAATGAATGCATTTGAAGCTAAACAATATGGTTTAGTTAGTGAAATATATAAATATGAATGTTTAGATGAAGTTTGGATATATTTAAAAAAATTAACTAAACTTTCATCAAAGGTAAGTTAATATAAAGTTTATATAAAAAAATACAGTATACTGATATAATTATTTCAAATTTTATTTTTCAGTCTATATTAGCAATTAAACATTTAGTTAAAAAATGGAATCAGAACATTTTATTGGAAGTTAATGCAGAAGAATGTACTGAACTTATAAAACATATACAATCTTCTGATTTTATAGAAAGATTAAAAAATTTTATATTACATAAAAGCAAAATTTAAATATTTCTACTTTCCATTATGTATACTTTATATATAATATATTTTTTATATAATATAAATATTTGTTTTATTAATTTAATTTTGTCTTATTTAATACAGAATTTTTTAATATAAAAGTTATGTTATCAGACACTTCTGACAGCATAATTTCCTATAAAATATATAAAAACAATCATTATTAATACATTCTATTTTATATGATATTTAATATGAAATTATTATTTTATTCTTACTTGAATTATTTTGTTTGGGATTGGTTGTTGATAATGTTCCCATTTCAAAAGCTGATTTATTGTTAAATTTTTGACATTTGGCATTTTATCTTTTATAAGAAATTGATATTCTCTATTATTTTCTTGATGTGATTCTTTTGATATTTCTTCTGACGTTTTATATCCATTACAAGAACACTTCATTAAATCATGTGTTAAACTATTTGTATTTGTTGTTAATGTAAACAAATCCTATAAATATTATGCACATTATGTATTATTTCATATTATTTTAAAAATATTTAATATTTAAAAAAATGTTTAATTTAAAATATGAAACAAACCTTTAAATCATTCGTAGATAATTTAATAGAAGAGAAATAATTTAAATCTATCACAGTTTCACTTAAACTTGCTTTGTTAATTTGTCTTTGAAAAATCTTTTCTTCGATAGTACCTGTTGTCAGTAATCTATAAATTTTGTTTATAATATATTGATATATATATTATTATAAAAATATTTCTGATATATTGATATTTTTATTTATAATTTATGAAAAATATTCAAACCGTAATATATAAACATCATTTTTTTGACCATCTCTCCAAATTCTTGCCATAGCTTGTGAATCAGATGCTGGATTCCAATCTGAATCAAATAATATAAGTCGAGATGCTCCAGGTAAATTTAATCCAACTCCACCAGCTTTTGCACTTAATAAAAATACTTCTGCAAACATTTTATAAACATTTAAAAAAATTATGCTAATTCTAAAATTAAATATAACATTACATATATTTACTATTATTATCATTTGTTGAATTGAATTGTTCTATAATTTTGGATCTTGTACTATTTGTTGTATTACCATCTAATCTAAGAAATTGTAAACATTCCATATTACAAACTCTTTCTAATAAATCAAGTGTTTGCGTGTAATATGAAATTAATACTAATTTTTCATTAGTTTTTTTTAAATTTCTTATTAATGTTTGTACAATTGAAATCTTTCCATAATATCCCTTTCTTGTAATATTTTTTATAGAAACTTTATTCAAACATAGATCATTTTTTTCATTATAAAATAATTCTGGATGATTACAAATCTTTTTAAGAGCTGTTATTAAAGTTAAATGTGGTATATTATTATTTGGTAATACATTTTTATTAAACCATAAATTTGTGATTTTTGAATACAAATCTTCTTGTTCTTCTGATAAACGACAAAATATAACTAATTCATGCTTAGAAGGTAAATATTTATTAATTATTTCTTGTGTACGTCTTAATATAAAACATTTAGTCTTCTCATGTAATTCACTAGCTCTTTCAGTTCCAAGAGATATAACATGACATGATGCATTAGGACATTGTGATGCAACTATAGGTTTTTCATAATAATTTTTAAATTCAGAACTACTACCCAATATAACAGGATTTACAAAATCAATTAATGCAAAAAATTCTTGCAAATCATTTTGTACAGGAGTTCCAGTTAAAAGTATTCTTCTTTTACAATTCAAATTACTCAAAATCTAGGAAAAAATTTGTAATATATTAAAATCTTATATATCTTAAATATAATTTCATATATCTTATATATTTCATATATCTTATATAATTTCATATATCTTTAAATATAACATTTTTTATAATATTAAGCTTTTTTTTCTTTTTTTAATCAATAAAACTGAATATTGAAAGTAATACCTTTGTTGTTTTTATATCATTATTTTTTAATCGATGACCTTCATCACATATAATTAAATCAAAAGCTATTTGTTCAATTTCTTGTTGATATTTAATAAGCATTTCATAACTAATAATCATAACTGAATTTCTTATTTGTTTCTTGAAATTATTTGGTTTATTTTTAGCATTCACAACATATGGAGATATTCTATGAAAACCCAACCAATGTTTAAATTCTTTATTCCAATTGTTACACAAACTACTAGGAGTGACTATTAATACATATTTCAGTATTGGATATCCATATGGTCCCTTTTTTAATAATGTCCAAATAATTGTAATGCATTGTAATGTTTTTCCAAGTCCCATTTCATCAGCCAAAATTGCTCCAAAATAATTAGGTATCTTTAAGCCCATAATACATTCATATAGAAATACAATACCATAACGTTGATGTGGTCTAAGTACATTTACTAAACAAGTATCTACAGATACTTCTTTTTCATTTTGTAACATATTTTTTGTCCAATCCTGTGAAATATTTACAGATGGCATTATAAATGGGCTGCATTTCAATTTCATTTCTATAATAAAACATAAAAATTGATATATTTTTTTTTATGATATAAATTCTTTTAATATAAAAAATTTAAAATAATTCTTTTAATACACTACTACCTTTATATAAACATTCTAAAGGAAGATATGGTTTAGAAATTGATGTTTTTAACTTCTTTGCAGGTGGTTCTGAAATTTTTTCTGGAATGGATTTATTGAGCATATATTTGGGCAGTACTTTATCAATTATCTATAAATATTTTGATGATTAATTTATATGCATATCATTAATTTATTTATATGTTTCAATTATTTTTACCTCAATTTCTTTATTATCTATGTACATTCTAAAACCTTCTATCAAAAGTTCTGGATTAACTATGGTTTTATGAATAATATTGCCTTCTATATCCTATATTGTAAATATATAACTTTTTTAATATTTTCAATAATAAAATATATATATAATTTGTTTAAATACATTACCTTTAAGATTGCATGTTTTCCTATAACTTCCAATGTTCCATCATCATCCCATTTTTTATGTTTTCTCATAGTCTTTTTACCTATTAATACATTAAATATGCTATAAAAAGAAATAATTATATATATTAATAAATAAAATTACTAAATAAATAAATTAAATATTCGTAATATACATACACTTTGTTTATATCACTAATAATGGATATATCTTTTTCAATCGTAACTGTATTTTCTTCTTTCTTAATTGAAACATTTTCTTTTTGTACATTTTTTTTACAATTTGTAATGGGATTTTTAAATAAATCTAGAATTTTTGTTGTATCTCTAATAAAAGTTTGTTGTGAATTTTCCGATAAAGTATTAATATTTTCTAAATTCTTCTTGAAATTAGTACATGTTATTTGTTGATGTTTTGAAGTATTTTTTAAATTTTTGTTTAAATTATTACGATACATATTAGATGTTTTATATTTTATTTAAAATTATTATTAAATTATTAAAACGAAAATATCAACGTAATGCCTATTATTACATATTAATCACAATTCTAAATATTCAAATAAGTTACACTATTACTATTCTAATTATACTTGTAAACTTTGATAAAATTTTACTTATTCCCGCGTAAAAGAATAGAAATTTTTAAATTAATACTATGAAGCAAACTTGTCATCTTAATTTGAATTTTAATATAAAGATAAAAAAATAAATAAAAAATTAAATAACATAATAAATAGTAATTTTAATTCTTATAAAAATTATATAAAATAATTATAAGATACTTTTTAAAATAATTTTTTAATTTTCTAAAATAATTTAAAGGTTGTTTTCATGAAACAGTAAGACTGTTACTAGTAAGTATAAGCTGTATATTCCTATTTAATTTGTAAATGTGTGTAATCTCATATTTGGAAAAATTCAGAGTAGAAATATTTGTACTAGCATGTGAGAAGGTACTATTATACATATGTATAATCCAATTGTTTCAATTTTGAAGGACGAGATGTTTCGAGAACATTATAGTGCTTCCATATAAGGTACAAAAAGATTATAGTGCGTGTAAAAAGTGAATTTATAAATAAACGGAAGAAAAGTAATTTATTTATTTTTTTTTCAGATGTTTTGTTATAGATGAAATAACTAGTTTAAATACATCTTTAAAAACAAGATAAAGAGGATGTATTGCCTACAGTGGTTAATTCCAGTGCTACTGATACCAAAACCAGTAAATCCAGCACTACTGCAAACGCATGTCATGTTTATGGCTCTTTATCTAATTGGATTCTTCCTAGAACGAAAACCATGTACTGTTTGTAGTTTAGTATTTCTTCTTGCAGTTTTCCTAATTTGTTATAGTGGAATTGGTAATTGTCTCCTTTGGAGTACAAATTGTGATACAGTGAGATGTGACAATAGTTAAGGTTATTAGAATGTTTATTCTTAAATTAAAAAAATGCCTCCATCTTTATTTTTTTTAGAAGGATATGTCTAATTAATTCATTAATAACATAACCTATTCATAGAATTCATATGTATTACATATATATGAATCTTATTAATAATATGCAAATATGATTTTATAATCTTAATTGTAGTTTTTAGGTGTTATACATGGTATATGTATTTATATATGTACATATATACATGAGTATGTACATATATGTATTAATGATATGTATTTATATACACAAAAGAATAAATTTGCTAGGTTACAAAAAGTTTGCATGAAATTAAGGAACTTCCAAATGTAAAATTATAATAGTTTAATATTATAGAATTAAGATACATTTTTTGTACATATATTTATGTTTAATTCCATTAATTTAATCCTATTGTCTAATTATACACTGTGTATAACACTTTTTTTATTTAAAAATGTTAATTTTATTTTGTTATTGTATGTTATTGTATATCTAAAAAATTAACATTTTTATAGTTTATTTAATTTGAATAAATTTCCCAAATCATTTTACAAAAATTATTAAAATTTTTAAATGAATCATTCATTACTTTGTTCATAAATTATTCTAAATAAATAATTAAGCAGAGTATAATTGGTAATTATTGAATGAAAAAATAAAAGTATTTTACATTATGATATGAAAATTATATAAAATTAATTATATAATAATATTTATAAATAATTATGACAAGCGATAGAAACATATATTGCGCTAATACATTAATTCAAAACTTCATTTCAATATGTTGAAGACATTTAGTATATAATTTGCTAATGGTAATTTATAATTTTTATGTATTTATTTTATCAAACATAGTATATGGAAAATGAACAAAATATATCATGTCTTATGTTACAAATATCTTTTTTCATTGAATATAGGTATTAGTATTTCATCATATTAAGAGAAAATATGAGATATTGATACAGTAGTCAAAAACAGCTTGAGAAATTTTACATTGAAAGTTCAGAAAATTATAAAAGGAAAACTTATGTATTATACAAATATTATATAAATTCCTGTTTCATTTGATGAAATGGTTACAAGTTTTTTAATAAAATTTTTGCATTAGCTCAAATTTGTTTGTAATGTTTCTAGCTATGATTTTTTGTTAAAAATTTGTTTACATAATAGTTGTATTTTATAATTGTATACAAATTACTTGTTTTTTTTGCTTCCATTTATAAATTTATGTATTAATAATATAACTATACAATTTATAATTGAATGTATACTTTTATAATGCAATAAAAGATGTAAAGAATTATTATAATAAATTTGTTCTTTTGATTTTACTTTTCTTGATGTTATTTATTAAATTTATTTAATTATTTTATTTATATTAAAATTTTTATATCAAGATTATTATTTAAGTAAGGAATTAAAATATTAGACATATATATTATTAAATTTTATTTATTATTTTACATTAAAATATTATTGTGGTTTACCACGTCCAAAACCACCGCGAAATTCAACATCTCCTGTACCAGCACCAACATCAGCTTTTTTATCACCAGGACCTGCTGGACCTCCTGGACCTCGTCTATATCCAGCACGATCTTCTGTAGGTCTAGATGCTTCACTTCTTGCACCTGCTGCAGGTCTTGGCCTTGTTGTTTCTGATCTTGTTTGTCTCTTAAGTGTGGAAGGTACAATTTCAGGAGGTAAATGCAAATATCCACGTAAATATTCAATGCCTTCATTTGTCAAATACCAATAAAAATGCCTCCAAGCAAATTGTTCTTTGACAAATCCTTTAGATTTTAAAGACTAGAAAAATACATAAGAATTTGATTATAATAATAAGTTAAATAATAAAAAACAAACAATATAAAAATAATCATATATATTCATGTCATATATTACCTGCATAGCCTTAATAACTTGAAGATTAGGAATACATTCTAATTCTGGATGTTTTGGTGCATGATAATCTTTTTTTGCAACCATAACACCTTCTTTAAAAAGATATTCATAAATTGCTACACGATTTTTTTTTGGCATCAACATTCTGAAAATAATAGAAAAAAAATTAAAATCTAATTGTTATTAAAATAATATAATTTTAATTCATAAATAAAAAATAAAATAAAATAAATATATTTTAAAACAAGATGATTCAATCAAAAAATTAAATATAGATAGGATTAGGAACGTATTTTAAATAAGTAAAAAAAATTAAAATTTGTTCAAATTATAAGAGAATTCTTTAGGTTATATAAATCTTATTATATTTAAATTATATAAATGAATATCTTAATTTTTATATTTTATATATCACAAATAATTTTAATATTTTCAAGTTATTATGAAGAAATATTCTTTTCTTATTTTTATATATTAATATTATAAACATTAAAGATATAAATTAATATTATGATATAAATAAAAGAAAGACAAACATTCTTTTAAATTAGTTCTAACCTCAATATCGTTTATTTTAATATTAACAAAAAAAATACCATTTATATAAAAATTCTTCAATTTGGCAAAAAGTAAGTAATTTAACAAACCTCGTATTTTTTTATAAAATCAAAGATTGCAAACGATTAAAATAGATATATTTAAAATATCTAACATACTTGACGTTTCAGTATGAGGCTTTTATCGGAAAGAAATGTTTCGTACATTCGATACTTTGAATACCATAAATCGATATATCGTTCGAGATTAACCGGAAATACAAAATATTTAATGAAAACGCTATATAAATTTATTTTAATTTGATTTAGATTAAAAATAATTTATATATTAAATTTATTAATATTTATTAAAAATTTTTATTTTTTTTTAATTCATGTTATATGTTATATATAAAATATAATATTTGAATTTATTTTTTTAATGTTTTATAATTTTAATAAAAGAAATGTAAGAAGAGATATTTAATGCATTCAAATAGTATATTTAATGTAAATATAATTCAAATTTTTAGGTAAATTTTTGATAATAAAAAATTAAAATATTTTTTTATTGAAAGCTTTGTTCAAATTGAAATTTTCAAATGAGTCTCTAATCTAGTACATTCAAAAACAGAAGGTATTAATAAGAGCGCCGTGGCGCCTATGAAATTACAAAACAAAATATTAAGAATGAGAAAAATTAAATGAATTTTAAAATACTAAAAAATAAGATTATAACATGAATTTATAAAATCGTATATAAATAGTTATATACTTTTTGATTTAGAAATATAAATTATGAAATTTTTATATCTTTTTATAACAAACACTTTATAAATTATATTGAACTATAGTATTGAATATTTTAATAAATATATTAACGTAATCACTATAAAAAATGCGTCAGTGTTAATTTTTAGAAATATAGTTATTGAGTGGGTGTAAAACGAATACGCCTATCGTCATAAATAATGAGAATAAAGTAAGTAGACAATATCTAAGTATTTCGTAATTAATAATTGTGTAATTATTATCTACTGAAATAATGTAAAAATAAAATATTATTATATATAATTTAAAATATATGGATTTGACTTCAAATTATAACAATATTCGTTAAATTTAGGTTAGAAGATATTTAAATTCTTATTTAATTTATTTTGTTTGTATTTTATTATTATTTTATTTTCCAGATGGAGTAACATTTGGCAATATATTTATATGCATTTCTAAATTCAACTACATTTTGATTATACATAATGTGAAATTTTTTATATAGATATTTTTATACATTTTGGATTATCTTTTTACATATGTTGATTTTGTTAAAAATTTATGAAAATTAACATATTTGTAAAAAACAATTAAATAGTTGTAATTTATTAAATTGTTATTATATTTTATTATTCTATACAATGTATTTTGATTATAGAAAAGATTTAAAACATTAATATTATATTTTTTAAAAATGCATTTTTCTATACCAGATACACAAGAATTTATTGATGCAGCTGGTAATACATATATTGTGAGTATATTTGTTATATATTATATGTAATTTTACATTAATATATATTTATTTTATCTTAATTTTCAGGGTTATAACATTCATATAAATGGATTATTTCATTGTACTGTGAGATATAAACAATTGTATAGTCTTCATGAACAATTAACAAGAGATTTAGATATATCTCTTCCATTATTTCCACCTAAAAAATTTTTTCCCTTAACAACAAATCAACAAGAAGAACGTCGTCTTTCTTTGGAAAAATATATTCAAACAATTGGACAAAATCCAGTTGTTAATAATTCAGGAATGCTAAATGGATTTTTATTAAATGCTCAACAAGAAACCATAGGAGGACCATCTAACAATGAAGTTATGGACATTTTTCTTATGAATGGTTGCAAAAGAACAATAAATGTTTCTACAAGGGATCATTCAGGTGAAGTTTTAAAGGTAATTTTGCCATATGAATATATAACTATATAATAAAATTATAAAACACAAACTATTTAAATATTAATTCATATGTTTTATTTAACAGAAAGTATACAAGCAACTTAAGCTATCTGAACAATATTATTCTTATTTTGTATTATTTATTGTTGCTCAAGATGAAGCAAATAGCATTCACTGTGAGTATATCTTTATTATATTTTATATATGATTAACAATTAATTTACTTTTTATACATTTTTTTAGTATTACGAAAACTACAAGATTTTGAATCTCCTTTTATAACAATTAAACATCTACATATTATAGGAAGTAGAATTATACTTGGAAAAAATTATTGGGATATAGGATATGATCTTAAATTAATGAATGATGAAGTGGCAACAAATTTGTTATATATTCAAGCAATTGCAGAAATTCAATGGGGATGGATTCATATTACAGATGAACTAAAAAATCAACTCAATGTTTTACAAAAACAAGGAAAAGAAAAAGAAGTATGATTATATATAGAATATATTATATTAAAGTATAACAACTAATATTAAGTTTAATAATAATTTTATTTTAGTATTTAGATATAGTGCGTAGTTCAAAATATTATGGATATATTCAATTTGCTCCATGTTTTTGTGATTATCCTCAACCAAATTCAAGAGTATTAATTGCTATAGGTAGAAATGAATTAAATTTGCGCATATTATTTAATGAAGAGCAACATGAAAAAGTATTTAAAGTCTCACGAATGCGTTGTTGGCGAATAACTACATTACAAAATGTAAATAATTGTAAAAAAAACATATATTTTTATATATATTATGTCTTGTTTTATTTCAATTTTAGGGATCTGAAAGAGGAGGTGAAGAAAGTGATGATTTTAGTTTAGAGTTATCTTTTGAATATTTAATTGCTAAAAATCAATTACAGTGGATTACAATTATATCGGAACAAGCTATTTTAATGTCTGTATGTTTGCAAGCTATGATTGATGAATTATTATCAAAGACTATTGATAGTAGTAATAAGATTCAGGTTAATAAAAAGAAAATACTATTAATTAATAAACATAATTATTTTGTTATTGTTATTTAGTTATTAAATATTAAACTATTTTTTCATAGGAGGTATCACAAAAATCTTGGACATATGTTATGAGAGATGGACAAAGTATTACAGTAGGATCAAGTTCTAAAGAATCTGAAGATAGTAAGAAGGTATGATACTTTAATATTATTTATACTTTATTTATTTATATTCTTGGGTTCTATTTTAGAATTATTATTTTAAACAACCTTCTAAATCAGAACCAATTATGAAGAAACTTGCAGATAGACTATCAATAGTAAAAATAAAACGATCTAGTGATGTGAGAAATAATATAAGTGATAAGGTTCAAGGAAAACAAACATTGGAATATGATATTAAGGAAAATAATGCATTTCGCATGATCGGTGATGATGATTTATGAATATATAAATTGGAATTATGAGATAAAAAATATATCATAAATACCTCAAACTTTTTAAATTGTATTAACTTGTATTTTTGCTACTTTTATTTTTTATGCTTAAATGATGTAAAATATAAAACTTTTATGTCAACGGATCTATAACAATTTTTTTGTATAATATATAAATATATTATTGATAATAAAAGCATTTATTAAAATTAATGCAAATATTTAATGAAATAAATAAACAAAACTAAAATAAATATAGTATATGTAATACTTTATTGTTCAAATCAAATATGTAAAAGGCAGTGTCTTATATTAACAATTGTATTTCATTTTGTTTCATTTTAAATGAAAATTAAAATATACTTTATTTTAATACTAAACAGAAATAATTCATACGTTACACTATGTAATGAGATTATAATTCTAACTAGATAGGTAATTTTTTGTTTGAAAGACAATTTTCTGCCTTCAGTCTGTATATTTTGCCCAAACATATAGAGAATGATACAATTTATAAGAAAAATGTAAAATTAAAATGATTTCCTAAACAAATAATTATAAACTGTAGTATAAAACAACAGCATTTTTCTAACACGAAAAATAAACAGATTCGCTATTGTCGTATGAAATAGACTTCTACATGTATACATTATATTCATAAATATCATAGATCTCTATTTCATAGACTATGTAAATTCTTATAAAAAAAAAATTTTATCGTGTTTTTTCAATGTTGAATAATAGATAAATATATGGAAATGCATAACTATTTTTTTACAATATTATTTCCACATGATTTTTTTCTTTTTGTATTTTAATAATACATGTATTTTAATAATACACGTGGAAAATAAACATAGAAAATTTGTTACTACAAACATATTTATGTTCTATCAAAATGTAATTTTACACAAATAAAATTTATTTGTTTTTGTTAGATTATTGCAACATGTTTATATATTGTATGTTGCAATGAATGTGTTTTTTTTTTCAAATAGTAAGATTTTTTTAAAAAATATAACTTAATTATCTGTTTTTTTCATTAATGATGAAACTCAATACTATTGTTTTAATAATCTTGTATATGTCATGGTAGGGCCATATAAAGACTAGATTTAATAATATTTGAATCTTTTTCGACCATAATGTGCATATCTTCTATATCAAAAATATGTTGTTATTCTGTATTGTTACTTTCTAAATAAACAAAAAGTCAGTTCCGGCTATAGTATTTAAGTAATATAAATCTATTTTCGCTACTTGAAAAATAGCCCAACGTCAGCAAAGAATTACTCCATTATGTTATAATATTCTTAACGATACATACACGCGTTATTGATTTTATGGTATGATTTACATAAATATGTGCTGTAATTTTTACCAATATAAAAATGATAACTTATTTGAAGATTTCAGATATGATAATTAAAAAATGTATTTTAAATAAAATTTTATATAAATTTAAAAAATATCATAAGTCTTGCCATTGTTGAAGACTATGTCAATAATTTAAAAATTATTATTAATTAAAAAATTATTGAAATATCAAAATATGTTCTAATACGGAAGACTAATTTTAGTAAATTAATTTATTAAATATTTCACATTGAAAAATTATCACTCTCATCGTAATCTTGCATGGTGCAATGATATTACTAAAAAATTTACAATTTGTATTTAGAAATTGAATATTCTGTAACTTAATTATATCAACAGATAAACGTGTAATATATCTATGGCAGTAAAGAAAGAATAAATTCTTCACTTATCTGATAATAATGTTTTATACAAGTAAACAATATATTAGTGTATAAAACTACATAAATATATTTTTAGGATATCTTCCATGCACATATTTCGTATGAGTAATGATAATAATGTAATTAAAATAATGTAATATTATGATCAAATGGCATAATATGTGACTAGTGTAAGATGAAAACCAAATATCAATTTCACATAGATGCTTATCTGATATTTTTTTTCTATTAAAAACAAAATTATAAATGACATAATATAATTATTTATATTTCTTTTGATTTTTAATTCTCAAAAAAAAAAAAAAAAAAAAAAAAAAAAAAAAAAAAAAAAAAAAAAGAAAAAAAAAGATTTCATATCTCTATAAGAATAATATAATAACAGTATATAGATAAACATAATAATAAAAAATTAAGTATAATGATTATTTGTTCACCTAAATTATGTAAAATAATTTACATTGGTGACGTGAGGCTATTGGCTAGTATTAATTACTCGTACTTGATTTTCAAAGAGAGACAGAACATTGTTTTGAAAGAAAATATTTTTAACTGTCATTATTCATTTTTTTTTTTTAAGATAGACACTTCATCAATAAACAATGCTCTTCTCTTTGATAAAATTAAGAACGAGATAAAATCTATTCATTTATACAACTGTACACCCTTTATCTATCATCATCACACTTATTTGCATAAAAAAAAATAATTGAACTGTTAGAAGTTCTGCTGACGTTTTCGTTTGGTATCCATAGCGTCAAGAATCGGTTGTCTCTTCGTTTGGTACCTTCTTCTCAACTCATCTATTTCTCTCTCCATTTCTGCATCCAAATTAGCCATTCGTTGCTGTAATTCCTCGTATGAGAGAAACTTCAGCTGCAGGATATGGTTGTTTATCTATATTCAATTTTTTTTAAAAATGCCTAAAGTGGCACTCGATTGATTTTAAATTTTAAAAAAGTATTAAAAATACTAAAAAAATTTTAATTCTATCTTTTTTGAAAATTTACAAATGTTTATTACTTACGAAGTCGAAATCACGTTCTGTAAAAACATTTTGGAACTTGGATATGTTATTATGAGGCTGTTCTTGTATAGGATGAGAAATCTGATTAAGCTGTAATTGTAAGTGACTTTGAAACCTCTGCGATTCCGTGGGGCTTCGTAATTCTAGTTTATTTTCATTATCTTGATTGTGTACTCCAAGTATTTGTCCATTACCCTAATATTTGAGAAATAATAATTTTATATATATATATATATTTCATAATATAATATATTTACATTTTTATATTTAAAATATATAATTTATAAAATACATACATGTATAAATCTTACCTTTCCTATTTCAGGTGCTTCTTTTTTATCAAAATGATCTAAAAATAATGGCCGGTATTTTTTTCCGGACTCTACTGACCCTGTATTATGCCCTGTGAATAATCAATATTTATTATTTTTATTCTTTTTTAGTACATTAGTGTTTTTTTCATTAAACGATTTCTTCTTACGTTTCATAGTTGCTTCGGTATCAGTGTCACTATTAATAACCATTGTTCCCAAATCTAACATTGCAGAAACAAGTGTACCCGTATCTGGAAGATCATGACTTGGTACTAAAGTTCCTGTGTCTTCTGGCAGTGGTTTCATTGTTCCACTACAATCTTCTTCGTCCTTATAATCGACATTAAATATTGTTTATTAATATATGTTTTTGTATATAATAGCATTTATAATAAATATCAATAAAAATAAATACCGAATCTTCTGTTTGGTTTTGATTTTTGATTGCCACATTATTTATGACATGGGCACGATGTGCGCTTTGTTTTTCTCGTATTTCGTGAGCTTCTGCAATCATTTGACTAAGAATACTTGGTTGCTTGGCATTACCTGTAATATTAAATATAAGATATTATTATATGAATAAAAAAAAAAATAATAATTTTATTTCATTATAAATTTTACCTATGAATTCATGATTTAATAGCTCAGTTGCTGTAGCTCTTTCTTCTGGATTTTTAACAAGGCACCCACTGACAAAATCTATAAATTCAGGACTCCATTGATCAGGTTCTCTAAAGCTAGGTGGTGGTTTAGTTGGAATCATAAATATTGCTCTCATTGGATGTATATCACCATAAGGTGGCTTGCCTTCTGCCATTTCTAAAGCAGTTATACCAAGAGACCATATATCTGCCACACAGTCATATCCAATTTCTTGTATTACTTCTGGAGCCATCCAAAATGGAGTTCCTATAACTGTGTTACGTTTTGCCATTGTATCCTAGACAAAATTTTTAAAAATTAGTTTTTAATTTTATTGATCAAAAGATTTGTTTTATATAATGATAAAAAAAATCATATAGCTTACAGTTAACTGTCCTGCTACTCCAAAATCAGCTAATTTTGCATGCCCTTCATTATTGAGTAAAATATTTCCTGCTTTAATATCTCTATGTATTTTTCTTCTCAAATGAAGATATTCCAAACCTTTTAAAGTATCACTGAGAATTGTTGCTATTTCATCTTCTTGTAAAGTTTTCTTTCTTAACCTCATAATATCACTAACAGATCCAGCTCCACAATATTCCATTACAATCTATGAAATTATATTTTGATAAATATAAGCAAAAGATAAATAAAAATATTTTATTTATTATATTGTTAATATTTAAAATTACCCATAAATCAGTATTTTTAAAGTAGCTTCCATAATATTTAACAACATATGGAGAATCACATTGTTGCATAATAGAAATTTCTTTTATAATTTCTTGTAAATCTGTATCAACAGGTACTTGTTTAATGGCAAGCACCTGTCCACTTTCTTTATGCAATGCTTTATAAACTGATCCATAAGATCTATATAAATAAAATATAAGACAAAATTTTAAAAATTATTAATATTTATTTCTAATAAACTGATTTTATTAAGAAATTGAATATGCTCCTATATATATTTATTTACTTACCCTTCTCCTAATTTGCATATTATATCAAATACTTCTTCAGGTTGCCTGGTTAAACTTTCTTCAGACAATTTTTTTAATTCACTGAAAAAAAATAAAATTCCTAATCACATAAATGATATTTATATTGTATGATATATAAGAATTTAGATTTACTTTTATTTTAATTTTTATATCAAGATTTATATTATACAAAATAGTTGTAAAAACTGTATATATTATATAGTTTTCTGTATAAATCTACATATAGTTTTACTAACTTTTTATTAATATTAAAATGTAAATATATTAGACATTTAATTTCTATAATAATAAAATAAATTAAGATATTCTTAAAATTAATACTTTCCCAATTTAAAATTTATTAAGAAGAATTAAAATAAATTTAAGTATAATAAATAATATTAATAAATTGATAATGTGCAGGTTAACAAAGAAACAAAGAATCAATACTGTATAATTGCTTGGTATAACAAGTGAAACGCTCAAAAGATTGAAAGACGATTCCTCTTAGCTACAAATAACTTCCACCTGCAAATTCGTAAAGTTCTGCAAGTTTGAAAAACACGAAGTAAAAACAATTAAATACCTCTTCGAAGACATTTTCGCTTTTTGTGTCAACAGGTTTTTACTTGAATAAAAACACCTTTAATATTTACATAAATAACTTAATGTGGATAAAACAGATATCATTCCGGTTGTAAAAACATAGTCAATTTAAAATAGAAGTGTTACATTTTTGTCAATAAATTAAAGTAACCATACAACCGAAATATCGAAAACCATTGACCATCTAATATTCCAGATAGCAGAGTTGATCGAAAAGTAAAATGTCTCTGAACTGGCTAGATTGATTATATACTACCATTACTTATTATTTTACTTATCATAAGGAAACAAATAGAAATAAAAGTAAAAATAAAAATAGAATTAAATTTTTATTTTAAATCGATCAAATGTCATATTTTTAAGAGATGAGTTTATTAACATGAATTATATTTAAAAAAGATTTAAATAAATAATGACCAATCATCATGTAACTACATATGCGACACTGCAATTTTCTTCATCTCGTAAATTATACTTAAAATATGAATTGAAAATATCATTTAAAATGGAAAAAATATTGGTTTTTGAAAAATGATTTAAAATGTATTATTTTTTACTTTTGCTATTGAATGTAATAAAATTAAACTTGATGTTTAAATAAAGAAAAGAAATCAGTATTTTATAATATGAAACAGATTTGACAGAAATGACATCAAATCAAAAAATATCAATCCAATTTTTCGGAATTATATCGAATTTTTTTGAAATCAGGTAAAAATAAATTGATCAGTAGAAATGAAATTAATTAATAAGAAATTTAAAAAATATGATAAAAAATTAGTATTAATAAAAATATATTATGCATATATAATTTATTAATCTTATAATAAAATCTATAAATTTTTTAATTTTTTTGTCATTGAATCTTTTAAATCGACTAATAGCAAACAATAATAATAGTTAAATTATTATTTTAACTTAAACATAAGATAGATAAAGTTATATTAATCGAAAATACGGTAAGAATTTTGAAAATACCGCCAGCATATATATAGTAAGAGTAACGAACAACAGAGGGAGCGGAAACCTGAGCATCGCTTGAACACACGAGAGTTTCTAGGCCCTGCACGTAATCGCGTGTCCACGCACGGTGAACGCTAGCACTCGTTTGCTAGACGGCCGGCTAGCAAAACGAGTCGATTTCTCCTGGTGCGCGATATCGCGGTAAGAGGTGGAGGATACGTTACTCGTCGAGAAATTGGAGGGTATTGTCGAAGACACCGGTTACGAGGGGACCTTGTGGTAGTTAGACAGGAAACGATAGGAACGAGATAGAATAGCCGAGAAGACGGAAAGGAGAAAAGAAGAAAAGAAGGAAAGAAAGAACGGTGGAAGAAGAGGAAGAGAGACGGAAATAAAGAAGAACGAAAGGTAGCCAGAGTGTACAGGACACACGAGGAGAGAGACGACAGGGCGAGAGAAAGACACACACGAAGCGCGTTAGAGTGCGTGATCCAAAATGGCGCTGAACCAGGACGTGGACCAGTTGTCGAAGAGTAATCTTGTGGTAAGGATCGATCAAAACTCCGAATCGGATCTACAAGCGCTATTCGACAGCGTCCTGAAGCCAGACTCGAAGCGTCCGCTGCAAGTACCATTGCGCATGCGCAATCTACCAGATTCTTTCTTTAATCCACCGTCGACGGGTAGCAAAAGTCCCTCGATCTCGCATTCCCGGGAGAATTCGGCGGATTCGGCGTTCGGCACAGCAGCCGCGGCCGCAGCGGCAGCGGTCGGCGGCGGTGGGCCAACACCCGGTGGAAACGCGACTGGTACACCGGCTACCGGAGCAGCAGGTGCGGCTACTGGTGGAAGTGGAAATAGCGCTGGTAGCGGATCAAACGCCGCAGGTGCGGCCGCGGCTGGCCTTACCGTAGCTCATCCTCGCGCCCACAGCAGCCCGGCTTCTCTTCAGCAAACCTACGCCTCGGCTCAGCAGGCGCCTCAGCACGCGCCTCAACCGCACGCGCGTCACCATCATCACCAGAAGCAACGCAGTTACGACGTCATCAGTACGGTCGACGACCTAGGTCCCCTGCCGCATGGATGGGAACAGGCGCGCACCCCCGAGGGACAAATCTACTTCCTCAAGTGAGTCTACTTTTCTTCTACCTTTTCCCTTTTTTCCTCATATTTTATTTTTTTCTAATTTTTTGTCTATCTCTCTTGTCTGTCTCTCTCTCTCTCTCCCTTCCTCCCTTTCTCTCTCTCTCTCTCCCTCCCTTCCTCCCTCTCCTATCCTGTTTTTACGTTCCCGCCCATTTCATTCGTTTTTTTTATATCGATACGTATATATATTTTTATCGATTTCTGGAAATTTTTCGAAGATGTCTATGAAATCTGATTGGTTAAGATCAACGGAATCCTCGTGAACGCTCTTAAGGTTTCCTCTATAAACGTAAGTTTCATGTTGCTCGATCCTCTTAGGGCGTTACACGAGAACGAGAAAATACGAAGGGAATACCGGCATCGATTTGACATTTTCTTGTGATTTCTAGTGATTTCACAATATAATTGACTCATTTCCAAGTGGTTCCTATCCTAGAACTATTGAATAAACGTTCCTACTTCGAATCGAAGCAACTCACCGCTGTATATGCGACTGCTGCTTCGTATTTTCGCCGTGTTGGGGTCCCACATACCTCAAGGCCGTTACTGTCTTTATCACCACCTCGTCTTACTCATCGTTGTTTCTTCGTTCCTCCATTTCTCAGCCGTCTCTCCCCACCGCGAGCGGTTCGTCATGTATCCTCGTTGTCCCCGCCATCCCGTTTTCTCATCTTTCTCTTTGCTCGGGTCTCCTTGTCAATCTCGTGCCGCCTACTCGATACCTCCAGTCCCTTCCCCAAGTTTCTCCTCCATCTCGCTCGTTTAACCTGATCCACCTGCACCGTCACTAGGATTCCCACGTGTCACCTGTCGTGGGAAACGCTCCTCGTATGCTTTGTCGCCTCGTTCGTCTCCTTCCACCCATCTGTCTTTCACCGACTCGAACGTTTCTCCGTTAAGCGTCTCTCTCTTTTCAAATCGACGCGTCTAATTTCCAATCTTTCACGAATTTTTTGACGGAGAAGCTGTTCGAAACAGACAGAAGAGGAGAAGTTTTAAATAAATCGTCAAAATCGTTCGTCCCATTTTAAAACATATTTCGTTTCGTATGTATTCGTTTATCGATCGTTTATCGAAGGTATATATAAGAATTGGAAAGATTAAACAATCGTCGTGTATCACCTCCTTCGATTTCTTCGAGTTCACGTGTTTTCCTTCGAGTGTCGATCGATCGACCGCGTTACACTTTCCTCCTTGTTTGCTTTGATGTCCGATTACGATTTCGTTGATCGAGTAGTTGATGTCACGTCGAGATATCCCCGGGTTGATAATCGATATGTTTCACCGTCGATAACGAGTATACGTACCTGCAGACGAAGGGATTCTCGTTTATATATATCTGTACTTTTATAAATATTCATCGTGTCTCCTCTTGAATGTTCGCCTTTCTGAAAGCCGATTGAAAAGGGCTTTCATTCGCATTCTCTGGTATTGTTCTTCGCCTCATTTTCAAGTATTTTCTTTTTTCTTTTTTTCTTTTTTTTTTTTTATTTATTTGCTAACACGAGAGAAAGGATTCACAGGGAAGATGGAAAAAACTCGAGAAGTTTCTTCGTCCTTTTATATGTATGCATCTTCTTTCAGAGGGTTTTACCTGAGGTTAGCATTCGAACCGTTTATTTCACCTGCAAATTCTACCTGCCGCTAAAAATCGTGAGAACATTTTAACCAGAGACGATTTTTCGGAATACCGAGAACTGCATTTTACCGTTCGTGAGAATTGTTCATTCAAAGCATTCTTTTCGATTCTTAGTATTCCAAATTTTTCGACTTAATGCGAACTTCTTTCTCATTCAAACAACTCGTTTCATGAAAACAATCGGTTCAAGGAAATCTATCTATGCCTCTACCTTGAAAATATCGGAAGTCGGTTTCTCGATAAACGATACTTAGCAAGCTCGAAAGCGGTATCGCCAAGATCGTCGCGGTTTCATTCCGTTTAAGAGGAATTTCTTTCAGGGAAATTACGTTTCCATTTACGTTTCACGATTCCACCGTGTGAAACTCGTGTGGACGTCGCCGCATGACGAATCTTTGCTCGAGATACCATCGTGAAAGTCGTAAAACACATCGATAATTATCGTCCAATGAATCGAACAATTTTCAGATAATGTTTCGTTGACGTTCATTTTCAATGAGCAGCCTGTTTTTCCATTAATCGTTATTTAATCGCTCCATAACGAAACGTCCTTAATCCATTTCTCGAACTACCTGGAGTCGTACCGAAATGTTACGTAAAAACGTAATTAGGCAATCTATCCTGCCGATCTCTATTGCCCGTAATTTCTACTACGTCGCCGTTCTCCACAGCCAATTCCAGTTTTGTAAAAAGTTCACAACCGTACTCGTGTTTTCGTACTAAGAATCGAGTTTCCTCGTTCATTTGCTCGTTAATCGCGTTACCATTCGAAATTTTGCGAAATTTTAATCGCCATCTATGTTTCCATAACACCGAAGCTTTTGAAATTGTTAGGTTAGGCTATAACTATTGGTAACGTGATCATTTGCGATGCTGGAAATGGAATAAAAAAGTAAGGAAAAGAAAGAAACGACTTAACGAATAATTATTCGAGTAGAATCATTAAGTATCGACGAGTTATATATCGTTTTCAGGTTCGTGTTTCTGATTCGTGCCTATTCTTTACGTGTAAATATCGTTTAATCGTTGATTAGAATATAGTCATAATCATGGACCAGTAGTACTTTGAATTGTCGTGCGTGGAAGGAGAAAAATCATTGCATTCCCTCGATAGACGTAACACAGCGGCCGCGAGGAGAGTTGGTCGGTAATGGCCGATGGTAAAAGAAGTGCAGCCAACCGAGAGACGCATGGTTGTTGTATTATGCAGTAATGACTGCCGTGACGGCACCCGTGTCTTCTCTCTGTTATTCCTCTTCTCTCGCGCCGTTCGTCCAATTACCTCTGCTCCGTCTCTTCGAGCTTTTGGATCTTATCCAGAAGCGGGACTTATTAGAATCTAATTTGCGTAATTGAAACGTGATTCGAGCCGCGAACAAACTGATTTCTTGAAACCCTTCTAGGAAGTGTCTCTCTTCTCTTTTTTCTCTCTTTCTCCGTCACCGTTTTCTCTCTTGCATTCTAGGTATAGTATATTTTTCGCGAGAAAATAACGAGAGACGCGAAAAAAGAGAATATTATTTATTCTCGCTTTTCTCGATTGATACATGATTTTGCGTTGAATTTTCACGAAAAATGAGAATTTTCGTGAACGGGATTGAGTGAAAATTTTTTAAAGAGCACGTACAATTTTTTCCTCGGAGTTTTAGTTTGCCGCGGTTGGCGGGCAGATTGCTCGTTACCTCGCCGTATAATGTTATACTTGGGTCCCGTTAGCTAGGCTCGCGTATTACATACTAGCGAGGAGGAGCAACTGTATTCCGACGAAACGAAACGACTTTGCGAACCAGCCGGAGGCAATTTTTTTTTTTTTCTCTCTCTCTCTCTTCTTTTTTTCATCGAGTGGACGTAAACAGTCCTTCGGCATGGCCTGTTCTCTCTTCTCTCTTCGAGGTGGGACGCGGGTAAAGAGACGGCGATGCGCATTCGTCCGCTCGCTCGTTCGTTTAAACGCGAGGCGTGTAGACGCGTGCCTCGGAACGAAAGGTCTTGCCAGCTCGAGAAACACGTTTCACCGCCAGGTGAACACACGAGACACGACGAGCAGGCATCCAAGGTTTTCCGCCAACTGTATCATTTGACGAAACATTAGTCACGAGCAGAGTCACATTTTACCAGTGGAATTCGCTCGGCTCGCCGTTTATTCGCTCCTACGGATCTCGTTTATCGAGCCTCTTTGCCAAACTATGTTATTCCTCTTTCCATTAAAAATATGCCCGCCGAATTTTTTCCCGGCCAAATTTCTTTTACTTTTCAGACTCGTCGAAAATCCATCGGAAGTCGAATCATCATCTTGTTATACGGATACGATTGGAATAGGTTCTTCGCATTAGTCAGAACGAATCTACAGGAACAGCTATTGCGCATATTTCGCGCGAGTCGCATTCGGTCTTTCCGCTATCTTGATTTTTACCCGATATATATTTTCTCGCGTGATCGAATGTTGTTTGAAAATCGAATGTTTGTCAATCGTTGTTTCCAATCGTTCGAACGTAGTTAGGCCAAAGAATCGAATAATGTGTTACACGGGGAACATAATCGTAGCGGCTGAAACGTAAATGGCAATTGATTCGCGACTACTTCCTTGTGTTACAGCGAGAAATAATGCGAATCTTTCGCAAACTTGTCGATAACGGGCACGAGGAGAGGTGATCCGTGAGCGTAGTGGAACGCCGCGACATATATCAGAGCCGTTTTCCTCGTAAATTCATTTCGAGGACGTTCAGTACATATGCATTTTCGAATGCAGTGAAAGTTGGGCTTGCGCGCGCGCGCGCCTGCGCGACATCGGCATCCTGTTGCGTTCTCAGGGTCAGTTCGACAACGCGGATACGCGCGTTTTCCTTCAATTTTTCCATTTCATATTTCCCCGATATATTTCGTTCGTTTTATCGGCGTCCTCGTGTCACCTCGAAGACTTTTATCTCGAGAAGAAAAAGAAAAGGAAAAAGAAAAAAAAAAAA